GTAATAAAACCACATACAATTTGCAAATAAAAATTTATCTCAATACGTTTAATACTGATTCCGACATTGTACTTAGCAAGAACCACAGGGTTTTTGTTACATGTCGTATATATATATATATATATATATATATATATATATATATATATATACATCACAATATTGATTCTACGTCCTTTCATTTCGCATTATTGTAGCGTCCACCACTTGTAGGCAATTTTTATACATTATGACTGCGAATATTGGTCCATTAAACAATTTCAAAGATAGTGTTTAACTCATTTCTTTGAAAATTTACCATATGTCGATATACAAATATTCGTATATTGCCAGACGGAGAGAAACCAATCAGGACTCCCACAAATACTCGTATATTGCCAGACGGAGGGAAACCAATCAGGACTCCCTTCCATATTACAAATTATCCAGAATCCCCGTAATATACATAGTTTTTAATTCATTCTCCTGCTTAACGCAATTCCTTTGTATGGTGCGACGTTGCCACTCTTATTAGTTATTCCGCTTTGTAATAACAGATCAAAAATAACAGATCTTTATTAGATTCTTTTAGCACGAATGATACAGTTTTTAAGATTCTGGTTCAGATTAGATTTAATTTTAGTCACTTAATTCGTATATTGTTCAAAATAATGAAATAAATCCACAGAATGTGCAGTTACGAAAAATACGCAATATCATTTTTGTCTCCGGCGAAAAAAAAAACAGATAGATATCATGATTAATTTACCAACTAGTTATTCGTTTACTAAATACGAAAAAATATCTAGGATTGCCCAGCCGTGATACTATAGATTGACTATATTATTATTTATTTTACTATTGTAAATGAGTACTAATTGTAGATATTGACAGGTTTAGTAGAAATTCATTTTCTTATATTGTCACTAATAACCTAATATGACTTTGGGAAGAAACTCATTTTAATATAAGGTTTTACTGCATTAACTTCCAATGGGTTGTTAATTTGTACAATAGACCGTGGTGTATTGTTGCTGACATGAATAACTCCGAAAATATAATTTATTTACTTGATCATATTGAGTTTTGGTGCTCTCACTGCGAGTTTACTTTTTATGATTACTATCTTAAGGATGAGTGCGAACTATTTACCTAACCTGTACAAAATTACTCTACACTTAACTAGATTCATTTTTGTGAAAGGCTATTTTTGTTAAATTATGATATTATGTTTGGTTTTGCAGTTAGTTGAAATACAATTTGTTTGTGTTTGTTGTTATAAATATTGGACGCTATATTACTAAAAACATGCATATCGTGCTCTAATTGGCATCCGTATTGTGACCTACGCACATTGAGAACTTTCCACGCTTATGCTTGCTTTCATTTAAGTTTCTTTGGTTATATTTAGTAACTTAGGTAAATAAACTTGTGTAAGTTGATTAATGTACTTGACATGGACATTGAAGGGAGTATTTACCCATATACGGAAGTAACAATGTCCTAAAATATTCACACTAAGTTTTATTTGACGTCCACTTCTTCGATATCCGATGTCCAAAGTTATTATTGATAATTGCATTTTACTATTTATTTATGTTGACTATTTATTTAGTGCTCAAGGCATATTTTGGTATTTTTGTCGGTTTATACTGTACTCAGTGCTAGTAGATAATTTTACTTTCCAAATTGTTTTCGTGTCCTTAGATTTAGCCACATATAATAATTAATATGGACGTCCGAATATCCTAAAACAATCATACTGAATGATATTTGACGTCCATATTTTTGAATTTTGTTATATTTCTATATGTGGACGTCAGATTATTGGCAAAGTTTCATACCGCACGATATTTGACGTCCTATAACCATGAATATATTTATATTTTAATTTCTTGTGTATAAGACACACATTAATGATCATTACTTTAATGACATTTTTCGCTATTGTTTTATTTTTATTTTAGTGTAGGGAGCACATGCGGTATAAAATAGTCACTTTGGTGTTTCATAAAATGCTCCATACTAGAAACGATAAAACGCTTAGAAAACCTTTCTTATTTCTTTTTTGATAAATATTGCCGTTTGTAGCGGTTTTTGGGGCACGGTATGCGCCAAAATTTCAACTTTAAATTAATACCTGTGTACACATAATAATATGGACGTCCGAAAATCCTAAAACATTCATACTGAATGATATTTGACGTCCATATTTTTGAATTTACGTCACATGACGTCAGATTATCGTTAAAGTTTAATACCGCATGATATTTGACGTCCATATAACCATGAATATATTTATATTTTAATTCCTTGTGTATAAGACACACATTAATGACCATTGCTTTAATGACATTTTTCGCTATTGTTTTATTCGTATTTTAGTGTAGAGGCCATGCGGTGTAAAATAGTCACTTTGGTGTTTTATAAAATGTTTCATTCTAGAAATGATAAAACGCTTAGAAGCTTAGAAAACGTGTGTGAAAAATTAAATTGTATTTCAACTAACTGCAAAACCAAACATAATATCATAATTTAACAAAAATAGCCTTTCACAAAAATGAATCTAGTTAAGTAGAGTAATTTCGTACAGATTAGGTACAATAGTCGCACTCATCCTTACGATGCAGTGAGAGCACCAAAACTCAACACGATCAAGTAAATAAATTATATTTTCGGAGTTATGTCAGCAACAATATGGCACGGTCTATTGTACAAATTAACAACCTACTGGCAGTTAATGCAGTAAAACCTTATATTAAAATGAATTTCTTCGCCAGACCATATTAGGTTATTAGTCAGAGGTTATTGGTCACAATATAATAAAACAAACTTCTATGAAACCTGTCAATATCTACAATTGAGTCCATCTTCCTGTACTTAATCAGAAGGTAACTTATACTCAAACAGAATTATGGGTTGCTTACGAAATACCTAACAAGAGTTCTTTTAGGCAGATTAGTACCAAATTTAAAATGTTAAAATATAGTGCAGCATGAAATAAACCGATAAGCCGACGTTTATAAAAGTATAAATAAATTCAAAAATACGGATGTCGAATATCATTCAGTATGAAAGTTTTAGGATATTAGGACGTCCATATTATGTGTAGGTAAATGTAAGGTTAAGAAAACAAGTTTAAAAGTAAAATTACTAGTACCAAGCGCAGTATAAACCATATAATAATGTCCTGCAGACCGAATTACTGTCACGGCGGCCTGCCTCAACGAAGACTAGCCATCGGCGCAGGACAGGATTATAGTGCCAAGTGTATGCGCAGACACAGGTGCTCTCTCTATTCCCTCATTCTCACAATCCGATGGGACGGTAAACCGACACGACGGAGAGAGATCAGGCGTAGGACCAACGGCTTTACGTGCTTTCCGAGGCAAGGGGGTGATACACCGTCAACTTCCTGACTCCGGGCAGCTATTGAGAATTTCTTGACAGAAAAACTCAATAATTGAATTTTTGGCCCGACCCGGGATTCAAACCCAGGACCTTACGATCAGCAGTCGCACTACTACAACCACTAGACCAACGAGACAGTCATAACCATATATCACCAAATACAAGTAACACGTTGGCAACGGTGACGGAACGGCAACGTCGCATCTCCTAATTTTGTGCGGAAGTCAAATACGGCCATAAATGAAAGTATTCACAAATCGACAGAAGCAGTAAATATTCAGTACAGCAAGATTGGAAGAAAAATGACGTCCAATTTTTTTTAGATTTTGACATTTCTGTGATCAGCATGACAATTTGCGAACATTGCGCTAAAGTCTCCTATTTGACGTTCGTATATTGGACGTCGTAAGCAAGTTGCCACGTTATATGCAAAATTGGCCATAGTGGACGTATAATAAGTTACAAGATGTATATATATATATATATATATATATATATATATATATATATATATATATATTTGTCTAAAGATAAGAGAACCGACTCATGGTAAATCTAAATTCTTCAAACCGCAGATGGCAGACTGCAGTAGTTTTAACAGAAGACAAAGTACGGTCAGTATGGTTCTTTTAAAAAAAGTATTGTTCTTTTGAAAATATTGTAAAATTATAAAAAGTATATAAATTGTGCAATATATAACCTAGAACCTTAACACATTGAAAATAACGTATCAAAACGGCCTTGTAGTTGTAATCTAATAATCACACTCTATTATAAGGCAAGTTTTTTTTTAATGCATCATATTATGATCTAAATGATAAGCTTCAATTTAACACGTAACCGGTGACAGGTGGACGGTGTGTTACGTCATCTCATCCTTTCCAAATACTGGTAGTTACGCTATAATGAACCTTAACGGCGTGTTCTCACGAGGCGATTTAGTCTGTCAACTTTCTTCAACTTCGTTCAACTTTCAAATGGGTAAAATCGGCTACGGATAGTGAAGTCATAGTTCAATCTGATATATGCTTGATCGGTCGTTCTGAACGGATAATAAAGGAATTTAAGAATATTATTATTGCGCTACGATTTGAATACTATGCGAATTATATATAAAACCTGTTTTTATACAACAAAAATACATTTCATTCTGCAACTTATATCCGACTACTTAAAACAAAATAACTTTTAAATATTTTCATGCACTTTTCGCCAGAAAGAGGGTTATTAGAAAAAAACGAGACATTTTTAATATATTAATAATTTTAAATAATAAATATCTAATTCAACTTAGAACAGGAAACCGATTAACGTTTGAGTCACTTTAAATAGTAAATTCATATTACATAACGTAGTTATTTCTTTAAGTGTCTTTTGCCCAAACGCTGCTCAATTTAAGATGCAGTTGAGTCTGGTGCTATCTCTGTCACTTTAAATTAAAGAGACTGTGACACCACGAGACTTAACATCTTAAAATTGAATAGCGTTTTTGGCAATATATCAACGATCCTCAAACCAATTTAAGACATGTAATTTCAATCGCCCCATGAAAAGACTTTCCGTCCAATCGGAATTTGACCAGCACGTCGTGTGACAGTGAACTCTATAACCTAGGTAATAAGGCGCGGCGCATGAAGTCCGTAGAGGCGACGGGCCAGCGGTGGGCGATGACGCGGTTCGTCGTCGGAGTGTGGCGCCCAGTCCTGCAGTCGAGCACCGCCAGCTAGCCGATGGGTAAGGCGATGTGCTATGGAAAAACCGCCACTCCCCTCCAACTGCGTAAGGACTATTATCACTTGTCTGTGGACAAACATATACCCTTTTTAATCACAAACGAAAAAGGTGTTATAAAGTAATTTAAGCAAGCTTAATACAAAACTAGTGGTAAAATTAAAAATTGTGTACACTCGACTTCAATAGAGCATTATTTAAGGATAACTCAAAAACTACTGGTCAGATCTTGATCAAATTTATATGGGACAACACCAGAAGCACCAGCTTTCCAATAAAAAGAGAAAGAAATATCAAAATTGGTTCACATAGAAAAAGTTAGGAGATAACACACATACACACACAAAAATTAAAAAAAACATACAGTCGAATTGAATATCTCCTCATTTTTCAAGTCGGTTAAAAACCCAACCCCGGCCCGATGTTAAATTCCATCTAGCCATCTAAGCTATATACATACACACTTCCGAAAAACACCTTCCTTATTTTGCATTCATGCAATCCTTATTACGCACGATAAATGTTCTAGCAGGCGATTGAAACGAAATTATGGTAACCGCCTTGATCCTTAACGTAAATATTTGAGTAAATTAAAAAAAATATGTTAAAAATTAAACCATCCATCCACTACAACCTATAAAAGTCCTCTGCTGCCTCTCTGAACATACGCTTACTCAATTCAATAGATTGCCTCGTCCCCCTGATAAGCAATCGTTGCCATGCTTGGCCGGCAGTTTGGCAATCGCAGTTTTTTATTAGTATTGAGTCGTTACAAGGAAAATGATGCTGCCTATCTACCGTATCAGTCTCTCTCTATCGCCTATTACGACACTCACGGGACGATATGAGGTAGTGTAGTAATCTTACACTTACACTGCCACTACATGAAACAGCATTAACTACCACCATCTATCGTTTACCGTTCGTCTCTTCTTACGACACCCACGGTAGTAATAACTTTGTCATAAGGAATTCGTAAGAGGTGGTACTAGATATGGGCCGAATCTGGATTTTATCCAATTCCAACTTTCGGTAAACCCGTCGAATATGACGAATACCGAATATGAATATGAAAATAAATATGAACAGATATATATATATATATATATATATATATATATATATATATATATATATATATATATAATTAATAAATATGTTCTTTACGCAGTGACATTGGAAATGATTAACGACTGACCGCAATAAACGATATATGTGATGTTACTGACACAAGGAAGTATCTAAAAATCTGAGTTGTAGTAAAATAAACTTTATTAACTAAGACCATAAAGCTTACTTATTCATCAAGTCAGCAATTTCATTGCCTACCTGTGCAAAGGTGGCACGGAATCGATCGTCTTCAGCTCCCCTCTTGTGGATACCACGTTGTAGCTTTCTTGGCAGTCACACTTCACGTGTATCCATTTGTCTGTGTGGCGATTTTCTACCATCACTACCAAACCTGCCCAGCCCTAGAACAATAATAATATTTTGTGTAACTTTTTGTATAACTTGTATGCTGTTATAGTGTAGTTATCCTTATAATTACATTATAATAGCATGTAGGTTTCATAAATCCGTTTTGTTTTTAAATCCAGATTTTAAAGAAGAAGAAGAAAGAAAGAACCATTAATTTGATAATCCCCCACACACACACACACACACACAATTTAAGAAATTTAAATTTTTTTTTATAGGATAGGTTGACAAACGAGCACACAGTCCACCTGATGGTAAGAGGTTGCTGTGGCCCATAGACATCTACATCTATCTTCAGGATCAAAATTCAGAAGCGTTGTCACCCGTGAGGACTAAGATGGAATGCCTCGTTTCTAGTAAAAATGGCCTCCGGTTCTCTACACTCAACATACGAAACACAGCAGCATCACGCAGATATTTTACACTGGTATTCTGTGAGAGCGTGGTCCTTCCCCGGTCGAGCCGACCCATTCGTGCTACAACTATACTACTAATATAACTGCAGCATGGCTCTACCACCTATAGATAAATTACAAGAGCAAAAAATATGTATGCGCAGGTGTAAGACTGCTTACGCATTAAAAAATATTAATAAGCAGAACACGCATGATGTTAATTAATAATAAAACAAAAAAACAAATACAAAAATTAAAAAAGAATTTAAATATAAAATGTGACATCAAATGGGTCTCCAACTCAGCATAATGCTGCAGAGGCAGCGCTGGTTTTCAGTTGGAACCTTGTGACTTCATCAGTGAGTCGGTGTGTGAACCTCGAATTACGCGTAACTACAACTTATAGACTAATAGTAATTGGCCAGTGGGTTAAAGAGTAATAAGAGTAATAAGAGACTAACGAACACAGTTAACACACACATACTGTATAAATATCAATATAAATGGTGTGCAGTACATACACCATACCTATTCTTACACATACAATATTAGGCTCTATGGGGAAGAAAATAAAAATAGCAACAAAATTTATGATTTTAGTACATATATAATTTATATTCTGTACTCAAAGAGATACGCCATGTTACGAGATCTTTAAAAAATTTTTTAGAAAATAAAATTAAGATTAAAAATAAATAAATAATAAATGATCATTCATCAAATATGTAACAAGAAACACCTTAATAATCATAAATATTTAAAAATGGTAAATAATTTAAAAAAAGTGTAAAACAATGTTCATATCATTACTATTTTGCGTTCTAAACATAATTGTATTACGTATTTTGAACTTGTTGTACTAAGTAATAGAACTTTAGTTTGTTTTTAAAACTATTCAGTGATTTTAGGGAACAAATAGGTGGTGGTAGATCACTCCAACAGTGGGTTGCTGCAAATTTGAAGCTACCTCTAAACGCAGCTGTGCGGTATCGAGTTGTTACAAGGGATTGAACAGAAGCTTGTCTTATATTATATTTATTTGCGAAGTCTTGTATTATATTTATTTTGATCTCGGGCCCACTTCAGCTTTTGAAACAGGTATACTGGTCGCTGTTTTGTTATAGTTGAAAATAGTATAGTAGCAAGGTGTAATTTTAGACGTATTAATTAAAAATTATATGGAAATGGTGTAGTGTTAATGGTGATAGTTGTGGTGGTAGTGGTGGTGGTAGAAACCTGACAATGATGGTTGTAGTAGTGGTGATTGTTGTGGTAGTGATTGTAACGGCTTAGTATTGATGTGGGTGTTATGTCGGTAGTAAAATAATGGTGGTAATGGTTGTGTGGTATAGTGTTATTATTTTTAATAAAAATATTAATATTTAATACGAAACGATCCGCTTAACTAACTACAATGATGTGTCTTACCTGGATTGAAGGATAGTCAACATCACCTGAAGATGTCTCGTGTAGAGGCGAAACACGTGTCGTATTATCGTCGATGGTGTTTCTTTCCTGGAATAGTGGTGTTGGAAGTAGTGGTGCCGGCAGTAGTGGTGTTGGGAGTAGTGGTGCTGGGAGTAGTAGTGTTGGCAGTAGTGGTACTGGGATTAGTGGTGACCGGATTAGTGCACGCAATTGAGGGAGGGCGGGAGGTGCTCCTCAACACATCATTGTATTTAGTCAAGTGGATGGTTGCGTATTAAATATTAATATCCTTATTATAATGAATTTCCGCAAAGTAACGCCTAATTCTATCAGTTATTATTTTTTATAGCATTAGGTGACAAACTAACATATAGTCCACGTGATTGTAAGTGGAAGCTGCGGCTCATAGATATTCACATTTATCCTCGATCGAGAATCAAAATGCAAATGCGTTATCACCTCTGGGGACTAAAATGGAATGCCTCTATTCTAGTAAAAAGGGTATTTTTTGTATGTGGTGGTGCAGTGATGTGGCGGTGGCGTCACACCTTGGTGAGGTAGTAGGCGGTCATGCCCTGGCGGCCCTCGTGGCGCTGGCCGCGCGCCAGCGTGAGGCCGATGATGGCGTCAGCCAGCAGGTGCGGGTGCAGCGGCGGGCGGCGCACGGCCAGAGGCTTGCTGGAGTGCACGGCCAGCACGTGCCGCGGCCAGGCGCCGTGCCCGCCGCCCTCCAGCCCCGTGTGCCAGTGGTTGAACGCCAGGCACACCACCAGGTAGAACCCCTTCTCCAGCATCTTGTGGCACCCCACAAACCCGCGCACCTGATCACACACACACAAACTTATGTTACGCATCTATATGTTAGGGACCAAGTGGTTACACAGGACAATATTCATAATGTCCGGACTGTTTGAAAAATGCCCAATATGAGTAATGACTATATGGCTTATGATAAAACCTAGTAGAATAAAGACCGTTACTTATCCGGCTAGATAATGACAAGATGGGTTACTTTGGGTTATATCCGTAACAGCCTATTAAAGCCCACTGCTAACCATAAATTACCTTATAAGAAACATATTTGTTATAGTTGCTATGCTTGGCAAGTAGATTGGCAATCGTAATTTTTTATTTTTATTCGTTATTAAGAAAATGCTGCTCCACTCATCTCCTAATTAGTTTTCCTCTGTCGCCTCTTACGACACCCACGGGATCTAAGTTACGGTAGAGAGAGGGTTAGATCCCTAAAGGACTTTCTTAAGACAAAATTGAGATTGTGAAATATCACAATCTCAATTTTGTATGCATTAGATTAAGGAATACCTTAATCTACTAAATAGAACATAAAAACCAACATCCAACAACTTAAATAATAATATAATTTCACATTCTAAAGTCAGTACTATTGGAGCCACCAAATTATATATTTTACATACTTTTCTATCTCTTCTATATCTTTTTATTTGATGGTCTACAATAAAAGTATATTCATTCATGCCCTTACCAATGTCTGTTAACAATTAAAGTACAAAAATATTAGGCGATAAAACTCCCCCTACCTCATTCAAGTAGTATAACTATTTTATATCATTCCATTCTTTATTTATTTATTTATTAGGTTCTCCAACAGTTATAACACAATACATTTGAATAAAAAAAATACAAGTTCCAACATGTCTTAAGCTAAGTGCATAACTACTTATAGGGGAACACATCATGCGTTTAATAATGAAATAAAAAAGTATAGTTATCATAAAGTTACCTCTATGTGAAAGAACAATCATTAAACCTATTTTAAGTTATTTTTTTAATAAATTACAGAAGATATTTTTTGGTGACAAAGTCCCTGATCTGTTTACGAAAATGTTCAGAAGAATCAAAATTAAGATCAACCAATGTGCTGCATTCATTGTAAAGTCTACTCAATCTAGAAACTGGAGAGAAAAGGCCAAGTTTAGTCCTACGCATTGGTGGGTTCATAGGCTGAATAGGCATTCTCGGAAGCCGAGAAGGTATTCTGAAGGAAAAGGAATTTAGCAAAGGAGGACAAGCCTATCTTATTATGGAAAAGCTTGTATACAAACATCAAACCCGAAATGTCACTTCTTACTTCAAGTGGTAATAACTTAAAAGTGAGAAGCCTACTTTTGTACGATTTTAACGATCGAGCTTTATCTACAGAGAACGCTACGTGCCATAGAAACCTTTTCTGAACCCTTTCCAAGCGTAACGTATGTGTTGCGAAATGGGGCCTCCAAACAACACTGCAGTATTCCATAATGCTACGCACAAAACTGTTATAAAGAATCATCTTGGTCTTAACGGTCTTGAAAATCTTTGTATTGCGTATAATGAAACCGAGCATTCCGGAAGCTTTTTTTATAATATGGTCGAAATGTGTTATAAATGTAAGCTTGTTATCTAGCAGCACGCCCAAATCACGAACACTGTCAACTTCTCGTAATTTGATACCATTGATTTGGTATGACGAATTTGTAATATTTTGTTTGCGTGTAAATTTTATATGTGTACACTTTTTCGCGTTGAGGACCATATTGTTTTCGTGACACCACCTTGTCAACTTATCTAAGTCTGCTTGCAGGAGATTCACATCATCCATGGAATCGATTTCACGCAAAAGTTTAAGGTCGTCAGCATATAAAAAAGGACTTAACATTATTAAGATTAAAAGAGACATCATTGACGAAGATGTTAAACAAAACAGGACCGAGGTGCGAGCCTTGTGGCACTGCTGATGATATTTTATGGGTTTTAGATGAATAACCATTAACTACAACGAAAAAAGATCTGTGAGTTAGGTAAGAACTGAACCATTTCAATAAGGAACCATGCACACCAAAGGCTGAAAGCTTACAAAGAAGGAGGCAATGAGATACTTTATCAAACGCCTTGCTAAAATCCGTGTAAATAATATCAATCTGTTTGTTCTTGTCCATAGACTTAATCAGCTCTTCGGTGAAGCACACTAAGTTTGTCGATGTCGATCTACCCCGCGTAAATCCGTGTTGTTGGTCTGTTAAAAATTGTTTGAAATAATTTTGAATTAGGGGAGTAATCAATGACTCCATGACTTTACCCATTTGAGGGAGGATTGAAATTGGTCGGTAGTTTCCTATTATATTTTCACCATTTTTTATGTAATAAAGCCACGCTGCAACTCATTATGATTAAACATGAATTGAAGTGTGTTTCGTATAGTGAGTGTAGAGAACCGAACACCCTTTTTATTGGAAACGAGGCATTCCATCTAATTCTTCAGGGGTAACAACGCATCTGTATTTTGGTTCCTTATCGACAATAGATGTAAATGTCTATGAGCTACAGCCATAGATTTAGTACTAACTGACTTTAGAATAGATTGGCAATGCAAAACAGAAAGAGCATAGTGTACACGTATGTTAGAACGAGAAAAATAGGCTGGATCATTCACGTACACATGCTATCGGTCTATATTGGGCTAGCGTCATTCGTGAACAAAACAAATCCCGCTTGTATTTGCAAACTCTCGGGTTTTAAAGTAAAAATTAGTGTTTAATAGACGTAATTCCCTCTGTGTTCGTTCCGTGATGCAAACCTAGTGTCAACTAAACAAATACAGTTACATGTGAAACCCATAATAAGTCTATAAATAAGTATTAGGAACCGCATTATTAAAAATCCTTAATTTTACTAAGTCATAGCCTAAACTAATTTATCGACGACGTTTTTTGTTTTGCTAATCGCACATCAATAGAGTTGAGCTATCATAGATTTAGTACTAACTGATGTGAGGATAGATGGGCAATGCAAAAGAGAAAGAGCGTAGTGTAAGCGTATTTTACAAAGAAAAAATTAGGCTGGACCATTCGCATAGCGTGTATCCGGTTATATCGGGCTAATGTCATTCTTAACTAAAATAAACCCCGTTTATATTTGCAAAATCTCAGATTTTAAAGTAAAAATTAGTGTGTAATAGATGTAATTAATAATTATGAATAGGTGCGTTGTATCTAAATATAACTCACCTCAGAAAGTAATTCCCCGTTTTCATACATTTAACCCGTTGGTACAATTGAAAAGTGTAGCTGTCTAAAAATGCTGTGTTTTAGAAGCATTACAAACAATTTGTACTTAAATGGATAGCAAAATTTTTCACATTTTATAATAATAATCATCTAAATGCAAAGCAATTGAATTTAAAATAATTACAAACACGTGAAAATTTGCCTAAGTTCAACCTTACGTTTGTAGAGATTGACATTATCGATAATATCTTATCGAAATGTCCTTAACAGGCAAATGCACTCCTTGCATGCAGCTTTATTCAACTTAGTAATTTTTTAATTTTTAGAATTCCGTAGCTAAACATTCTAATCGTAAGAAAAAAAAATATTTTTATAGAATTAGAATGACCACTGAACACACAGTCCAGCTAATGGTAAGTGGATGTTGTGGTAGATTTTCACAAAATATTGATATTTAACAAAAATGCTTAAAATAATAAAGAGAGAAGAAGGGGTTTTCGAAAGAAAATATATGATTATATGCAGCAAGTACTTGGAAGAAAAATGTTTTTCTCAAAGAGGTACCCACTGCGTAGTGGCGGTGTAAGATTATCCACTGCTCCCATATCATCCCGCGGGTGTCGTAAGAGGCGACAGAGGGAAACAAATCATGAAATGAAGAACAGCGTCTTCCTAATAACGACTAAAAATAAAAAATCTGCGGTTGCAAACTCGCTTGCCAAGCGTGGCAACTATGGTAAACATTGCCCCATGAGTCAATCTATGGTGTAGGCCTATTTTCAGCAGTAGACTTTAATGGGCTGTAACAATAACATAAATGAATGAATGAATGAATGAATGAATATACTTTTATTGTTCACAACAAACAAATATACAGATGACAAAACAAAAAGCAGATTATAATACTATGTAAGTACAATTTGGCGGCCTTATCGCTACATAGCGATCTCTGCCAGGCAACCAAAGGTGTAAGGATTAGAACAATGAAAACTAGGTAGGTGGTGCAATATAAATATACATAGTATAATATTAATACATGCGATTTATAGACAATATATGCAATAAAATAACATAAAAATAAAATATATATATAAAAATATAAACAAACTTACACATTTACCTATATATATATATATATATATATATATATATATATATATATATATATATATATATATATATATATATATATATATATATAAAATAAAATATATTAAAACTTAATTTATTATTAGAATAAATAATGTAGCCAAATTGTACATTATCTTTAAGGAGGAGGATCATTATCTTATAAATTTTTTACATTAAATTGGATCTTTTGGAAGGATTCTAAAAAATTTACATCTTAGTCTTATTTAATACCTTTTTAGTACACGTTTCTTATCGTAGTTTGGTTTTAGTTATTAACATTTAATGTATATGCACATCATAACACGAATATTTTTTTAAAAAACAGCGTTTCTTTCAGCGACTGTATATTAACAATTTTTGAAATTTATGTATGAACTAAGAGGTAGGATCCTATTTCTATCTTTTAGTCGTTACAAGGTACACACAGAAACACCGTTCCTTGTACCGTTGTACAAATACAGGCTGTAAGGCATTCTATCTTAGTTTGTAGACGTGACAACGACCTCCTTTGTTTGAAAATAAGCAGCAAGTTTCCATGGGCTGCAGTACCACTTACTATCGTCAGGTGAACTGTAGGTTCGTTGAATACTTCAGTTAAAAAAATCTCTAATAAATGCTAATATTTTCTATATTTTCTATAATATTTTCTATAACATGTATTTTCGGAATATCTGAACACGATATTTCAATATTTATTTGATCAGTATAGCCATTCAACGAGGAAACCAGCCAGCGTTCTTGGCACGATACCACCGCCTCCCCGTGGACTACAGGACTGTATGATAATATAACTTTTTCTCTATTATAGTTTTTTTTTAATATTGTAGTTATTTCAATGTGTTATTATATGTCCGCAATAAGCCGCCATGTTAATTTTATGTGACTTCATGCAACTGAAAACCTGACAAAGAGAGCTTAGAATATCTGACTGAACAGATGAACATACATACATACATAGTCTTCTAGAATTGTAACCATCATTTTGGCTTCTCCGTAGTTGGGTAAAAGTATCCACTTACATCATCTGCGTCAAATCAGAAGACACGAATATACTACAATCGAAATCGATAATTGAAGTTGAGGCAAGCAAATATCAATGCGTGGTGCAGCACTATTTGTCACCCACACATGCACATTACACGCACACTGGTGTATTTTGGTTTTGGTTTTGCCCTATTCACTCTATTATCTTATATATACTATACTATATCTATAGATACAGCATTGACTTACTAGTATACTTCAAATAATACCAAGCACACGTTCCTTTATAAGTCGATTCAAAATAATTCAAGGAATCGTGAACGTTTGAACTCACCTGCCTTTTACTGTGAGCGACCAACTTCCCAACTTGCGCATTCGGCCCTGACTTCGTTCTGAACACGACCACGCACAGATCAAGTTGCGAGCGTTGACTTTTTGCCGAATTCCTGAAATATTTTTATCGTTTTGTTGTAATCTTATAGATAAGAGCAACCACAAGCGCATTTTATCACGTAGATAAGGAAAAGTATGCAAGTAAAAAAAGAAATACTGTTTTGGCTTTGAAATAAGTATGGATCCAACATCTTAAATGCCTCCGGAATTGTGATAAATACACACACACGTGCTAACAAAATACGCACGCACGCACTCACGGCACGCACGCCACGCGCGCACACGCACACGCATACGCACACGCACACGCACACGCACACAACAACACACACCCTATATCCACGACACACACACACACACACGCGCCTATATCCACGCACACGCACTCGCAGGCTCGCACGTACGTACGCTCACACAGAATAGCAGTGTGAAATAGCAGCTTAATGTTATGTTTCGTATGGTGAGTGTGGAGAACCGGAGACCCATGTCACTCTTATTCTATAAAAACACACCCAATGATTACATACATGTTATTTTGTTGAACATAAGAAAAATATTGTCACCTTTGTCCCTCTTGAAACAGAGTAAAGTCGACTTCGGTGGGTTGCGTGGCGGTAAGTAACAGGCACGTGAGGTGTCGTGTAGAGGACATTGGTGGCAAAATACCCGCCAACCGAACTTCGTGCCATCCAACTCGGACTTTGCATATGTCGATACAGTCGAAATATCTGTAAATGATCACCAATATTGTATGTATATTTAAAAAAAAATCACACACTACCCGTGAGTGTCGTATGTGGCGACAGAATGAAACAAACCAGGAAATGGACAGCGACGTCTTTCAATAACAGCTAGAAGAAAAAAGACTGTGGTTGCCAACGCGCCTGCAAAACGTGGCAACTATGGCAAATATCTCTCTTCTAAGGCAAGGTCTATAGGTCTAAGGTTCTACGGAAAGGTCTATCTTCAGTAGTTGATTTTTAATAGGCTGTAATGGAACCGCACACTAATTTTTATTTTCTATTTATCTCTACGTAGTATAAAACAATGTCGCTTCCCGCCGTCTGTATGCCTAGATCTTTTATAATATGCAAATAATTTTAATGATAGAATGATTCAATAGGGAGGTTTATATGTACATATAATAACAAATAATAGGTTTATATGTTAATATCCAAAAATCAGTTGTGCGAAGCCGAGGCGATCCCTAGTATGTGTCTATAGTTCTCACGATACAGATTCCTGTGCTGGATGCAAGAACCGTAGTTAATAACTTTGTTATGGTGCAAAGTATTGGAGTTTAAAGAAGATAACATATAGAAATTAAAACTTCTCTATTCAATTGAAATAATACTAGTTTTTACGGAATTTATCGCGTATATTTAACTTTTTAAATACCCGACGTTTCGAACGCTTTACAGCACTCATGGTCACGGGCGGGACTGAGATGTTCAACGTCCATATGTCATAGTTAACCGCGGTTACCATAGATTAAAATTTAACTTTTGTTCCGATCTATACAGTATGAACTTATGGTATCTTGAAGTCTTGCAGTTGTATGCTTGGGTTGGGATTTAATTTTATTTATTAAAGGATCCCAAGCAGATGGTAGCACCCAGCCATCTTCTCTATTGAAATTAGGATGTTTTTTGATTTCAATAGCCTCGCGAATCATCCTTGGAAGGAATCGGTGTTCTTTAGCGAGGATTTGCGGTCTATCAAATCTGATGTAGTGACGGGGGCGATCCTGTACGTGTTCACAGACTGCAGACTTCCCGGAGCGTTGATTCTTCACATCAGCTATATGTTCTTTAATGCGGGTTTTTATTAATCTTTTAGTTTGTCATATGTAGGAGAGACCACATTCACAATCAAGCTTGTACACTCCTGCATCTTGCAGAGGGACATTACACTTGACTGATGGTAAAAACTGACCAATCTACTTCAGCGGCTTGAAGTATGTTTTGATGGAAGCGCGCTTCAAGATGTAGCCAATCTTGTCAGTGACTCCTCTAACATATGGCAGTACAGCAGGTAAACGCTCGAAACGTCGGGTATTTAAAAAGTTAATTATACGCGATAAATTCCGTAAAAACTAATATTATTTCAATGTGTAGTGTTCGCGTAAATATAAGAAATCATTATTTTCTATTCAACATAGATTATAAATAATATTTTTAATCTATATTGATATATTTAAATTATTTTAACTATGTATATAAAACAAATTAGAAGAATTTATTATCATCCAGAAATTCCTTAATAATATAAAATCATTTTTATATGATCTTCGTTTAACGAAGTTTTGTATATTTTCTGGGATTTTATTGCCACAGTGAATTAATAACTGGTACTACTAGATGGTGTCTGTTCACAATATACATGCAGAGTAATATCACTTATTTTTTTAAGATTGTAATATATTTTTAATATTAACTTGCTCAAATTTTGTCTTTATTTATTACATTAACAACGATTGTTACATCAGTAAAAATCTTAATTGTTAAAGCTTAGGATTTAGGACGTAATGCACAATCATTTATAGGTAATCATCACTTACACTATGAAACTTTAAATAGGGCTATAAACTGTATCTCTAATTTTTTTAGTGGTTGTCATAAAATGTACGTCAAGGATTTGGTGATGGTCACAGTATTTGTTGTAAAGATTGCTCGTTCTAGAGATTGGGGAATTCGATACTAGTAGCGTCCTACAGAACGGGTAAACTAGAGACTTGATAGGAGTACGAGGTATTGTCCGTAGCACTCTAAAGCATAATTTTGATAGGAATTCTGAATATTATATGTAGCTTCTAATAGAAATATATTTTTAAAAAAATTATAGAAGAATATTAGGTCAGTTACATCTCTTCGTTACATTTAAGTGGCAGAACGCAAAAAGTTGTCATTAATAGTATGAGTTCCTCCGGGTCGATTGTACAAATAGGTGTGCCTCAGGGCTCAATTTTTGGCCCCCTTCTGTTTCTTGTATATATTAATGACTTACACTACATAGTAGGGGATAACCATGATATAGTATGATTTGCTGATGATACTTCCTTAATTTTCAAATTAAAACGACAGTTATTAAATTACCACGAAGTTAATAATGCTATATCTAAGTTAGTCAATTGGTTTAATGTTAATAATTTGCATTTAAATGGTACTAAAACTATATGTATGAAATTCGTAATTCCCAACGTCAAACATGTTAATACGAATGTAATTTTAAATGGGGAAAAACTGAGTCTTGTTGATACTACTATTTTTCTTGGAATCACACTAGACGCAAAGCTTCAATAGATCCCCCATATATCAAAACTAGCTAGCAGACTTAGTTCTGCAGCATATGCTGTAAAAAAGATTAGAACTTACCAGTGTTGAAACAGCCAGATTAGTTTACTTTAGTTATTTCCATAGCATTATGTCGTATGGTATTTTGCTATGGGGACACGCCACTGACACTGAAATTATATTTATTTTACAGACACACACACCTCCAGAGGGCTATTAGAGCAATATATAATTTTTTTAAAGATTATTAACAATGCTATAAACATTACTAATATGGGGAATATTAGTAATGTTTATAGCATTAACCACTCGTGGTAAGCTTAAATTGCTTGTGTTACGAGTGGTTCACGCTAGTAGTCGAATGGCGGATTCGAACCCACGACCTTTTTGCGTTCGCGGTTCGCGCCCTGCCATTAGGCTACTGTCGCTTAAAACCAAGAGTCACTGAGACAAAATTTTAAGGAAATTAATATATTAACTCCGGCCTCTCAATAAATTTATAAAAATGTAATGTACGTACACAAAAATAAAAGCAGTTTTGTAAAAATAAGTGATATTCATTCTGTAAATACTAGGAACAGACACAAGCTAGTAGTACCAGTTACTCGACTCTAACGAGTCAGTAATTCATTCTTGGGGCGATGTATACGCTTTTACAACAAAATCCCAGAAAATATACAAAATTTGTCATACACAAAGTTCAAAAATTTCATTAAACTAAGTTTGTATAAAAAGGGTTATTATAATATTAAGGAATTTATGGATGATTATAACCCCTGGGAAGGATGATCGCTACCAAGCTATTTCTAATTTGTTTTGTGTTGTTAATTGTAAACATGATTGTAAGCTATTATTGGAAAAAAATAGTCCTGATGGGTTTCTTGCTGGTTCTTCCCAGGACAGGGGTTTTTTGGGAATTAATGGTAAATGAAAAAAGTGACTTTTAATAAGTATTGTTTATAATCTACATTGAATAAAAAAGTTTCTGTTTCTGTTTCTGCTTCTGTTTCGTCCAGTGATGTCAACTTAACGAATTCTAATGATTTAGAGTACGAATTAGGGATTACTCAGCTCGCCAGCGGAGTACGATGAATGACGTATGAAACTTTTTTGGATCCGTTTAATCCTCAGACTATAATAATAATAATTAATGCTTTATTTCACTAATAAATTATAACAAATAAATTTAGTCCCTGACTCCTAAAGTAGATGAAACTACGAATTGTCTTAGAGACTCTAGAGGCTTTATAAGTAGGTAGAATGTGATGGGGGTTGAGACTGACTTGAGCACATCGTCGAACGCAATCCAGAAGACCCCGTGGTCGCGGTCGTCGGGCGCCGTGTGAGGGGCTAGGGCGCGGCGCAGCGCGTCGGTCCAGCGCGGGCAGGCGTGCGCCCAGGCGCCGCGCCACGTGTAGTGGCCCCACGGGTTGCGCAGCCGCAGCAGGCGCAGCGGAGCGCCGCCCGCCCCGCCCGCACCCCCGCACAGCTCCACCACGTCCAGCACGGAGTACGCGTGCCGCGGCCGCAGCCCCAGCCGCTGGTACTCCTCCTCGTCTACCTGCAATATTTACACAATATACTTATACTTTAAAAATATATATTACCTAATATCTATAAAACTAAAAACCTATAAAATTAATATTCAAAAACTGAAGGTAGCCGGGCTAACTATTACATTGGGACGTCAAACATCTCAGTCCTCGCCCCCCCCCCCCCCGTGACCATGGGTGCTTTAAAAAGTACCCGAAAGTTCGGAATAATAAAAATAAATTAAAGTTGTAATTAAACGCGATAAAATCCGTAAATATTAGTTTTATTCAATAAACTACCTTTACTTTACTAACAGCAAAATACTCAAACGCCACTCAGTTTTAAGGTGTCGTTAAGTATCGTGATGTCACAATCACTTTGACTTCAAATGATAAAGACAGCACGACATTTAACGTCATCTTAACATTGAGCAACGTTCAAGTATTTGGTGATTAGTGTGTAACATTTGAACGAAGTAGAAACCTATACGACGGATATTTTACAAAAAATAAAAACAAAAATTTTGAATTAAATAAATAATTTCATTAAAATCTATCGACATTCAAATCATATCCACCCTACTTTACAAACGACAATAAAACGATAAAATTAGTAGGCATCTTTAACTTTGTCACTTTGCAGGGTCACAGGCTCAAGTGCAAAGGGCAGAGTAATTGTTCAAAATATTTTTTCAAACGTTTAATGCAAAATTTTTGTTTTTAGTTTTTGTAAAATATCAGTGCTATAAGCTTCTACTCCGTTTACATATTACACCCTATTTTTTTTCTAGACGGTAAAAAAGGTCACCTGGTAGAGAGCTCAGTGCTTATTAGAGTGATAAAATCAAAGAATTCCGCAGTAGAATTAAAAATAACTAATAGGTTAACGAATCAGTGAGATTAAATGACAAAATACCGAACATGACACTCCAACAACTAATAACTGATGAGGAAGAAATGTCCTAAGAAGATATAAAATGCAGTCATGCACATGGCGACAACAAGTCCAGATCCGAAAACGATTGTGTCATACATCCTCAGCACTTAATAGCACAACGTAATCATAAAACCATCACAGTAAAAAATATCATACTTATTGTGATTAATATTTTTGATATACCACTTTTTTGATATAGTTACTTTGCTTTGCTTTGGTACCAATGAATCCACCACAGTGAAGGATTGTGCCAATTTGTTTTGAACGAACTACTGCTACGCACAAGGGTGTGACTCTAAACAATATAAATAAAAAATATTAAATTGTCAGATCCAGGTGTTAACACCAAGTGCATGACTGCATTTTTACTCCCAACTTAACTACTACAGGAAACCAAGAAAGTCTTCATATTATGGTTTAAGACATTTATTTCTCAAAAAGAATACAATTCACTTATCATGAGAAATAACAAGTTAATAATTAGATACTAAACAAATAAACTTATGAAGAACGGCAGGTACTTGTAAATGCTCTGTTAAGTAGTGGATACGCACAATCTTGTTACTTGTTGTGGGTAACAAGAAAGATACGTGTACAATTACATATCGTTATTGAAAGAAAGTCTATAGCAATTACACATAGTTCATATTTGCTAGCAATTTAGATGGTATTTTTATGTCAATGGTTATATTTTAAATAATTGGTAAAATCAAATTAATTAAAGAAATAACATTAGCTTTTTGAATAAGTTAATGGTATTTAAAATCGAGAAAAATCTTTTAAGATGTGGTGCTTTAATGTTTTTTTTTGTATAAAATAAAGGACTGGATCTCTTTTATGTTATTAGGCAATTTATTATATAACTCTGCTCCTTCGTATAATATATTTTTTCTTCCGTAGTTAGTTCGAGGTTGTCTTATGCAAATGTTATTTTGTCGTCTAGTAATACGTTTTTGTATTAGTTTTTTCTTTGTAAACGTTATTTTAGAGTCTATATCTTTATTTAATAATTTATGTACTAATATGCATGTATTATATTTATAAATTATATAGTTTAGAAAAATATTATAGAGTTTAGAAGTAAGGTACAGTACAAGTACAGACTCTGTATAAAAAGTGTCCGTAGGAATGCGTTAAATAAGGGTGGCGGCGCCACTGTAGCTACGGCCTAAATTTGAAAGAACTTTTTTATTGCACAGGCTTTCACCATAATTCTTTTTACAATAATTATTTTATTGCATTCAAAATTTTTATTTCCAAAATCACTCTCAACGTATTTTATGGCGATTTTTCATACCCTGTAGCTACTCGAGCGCTGTTGTGGAGAGTTTTCGAACTGTTATTTACTGCTTACAGATGGACACATTTTCAACTACTCTCCTATGGGAGATTGTCCTCCTTACCTCTATACTCCATGCTTCATATGGTCTTCGAGAGATACCGGTAATTTAATGTGTTAATTTTAAATATGACGTGTCTTACAACTTAACCATCTTTTTCGGATTTTACAATATTTATTATATTTAATAAGCCTCTGTCTAACATGAGTTACATACTAAATTAAAACGTAAGTTATAAGAATCTCATAGATACCAACATAAAATGGCAGTTTAAGGCTGCTGTGTTTCGTATGATGAGTGTAGAGAACCAAAGATGCTTTTCACTAGAAACGAGGCATTTCATCTTAGTCTTCAAGAATGATAACGCATCTGCATTTTGATTCTTAATCGAAGATAAATGTGGATATCTATGGGCTACAGCATCCACTACCATTAGGTGGACTGTGTGCTAGTTTGTCACCCTTATTCTATAAAAAAAATTATAATTGATCAGAATTACATTTAAAATAAAATTTTAAATTAAGAACAGGCCTCCCCGAAGGAATGTCACAAAGTACGGTCCCGAGCCAACTGCATCTATCGAATCACTGTATGCCTTACCATATCGTCACTCCATCTACATAGTTGGGGGACTACACTTCGCCTGTCGAAACGAGGCTGCCAATTGAGAACCATTATTCCCCATCGGTTGTGCGATTCTTCGAGCTATAGCTTAGCTTCGGCTCGTTTGGTTACTCCATTTCTATTGACAATACCCTCATGTTTAAGTCTATCACGCAGAGAAACCGCGAGCTTCCTCATATGGCTAGCAATGAAGGACCACGTCTCAGATCCAGCTTACTAATCCGTTGGGCTATATTGGTTACTCTAGTTCTAGTACGGACCTTCGTTTAAATCTATCACACAAAAAATTACGTAACAACAAAATAAAGAATACATAATATATAATCGGATTTATTATAGTGTTGTAAATTTTGTAGATTAAGATTCTTACTAATTGTAAAAATAGCTTTCTGCTACCAGCTGTGAAATAAGTAAACCGGCAATGGAAAGCATAATAAAGGGTTCCAGACATGTGATACCACGATTATCAATAAACCTAGAGTAATACAAAATACAAATTGAATAGAAACAGACGGCCAATGTCGAGCAGTAAACATCAGGTCTCTTCGTTAACTTTATGACTTCGAAATGATAGCCAAAAAATACTTAAATACTTGTGCTGTTCAAGTGGTAAAATTAAAAAAAATTGTACAACCGACTTCAATACGGCCGAATCAATGTATTCGAAGTTAATTAAAAACACGTTATCAAATATAACTCCAACACTACTGCTCAGGTCTTGGTTAAATGTTTATGGGACCACACGTGAAGCGACAGCTTTCAGATAAAAAAGAATCAACAATATCTGTTCATTCAGAGAAAAGTTATGAGGTAACACACATAAGAAAAACGTACAGTCTAATTGAATACATCCTTTTTGAAGTGGGTAAAAGCTATATATCATATGGCGCAGTGTACATTAAAAGTGACTATCATTTTGATGTCAAAGAAGTTTACAACAAAAACAAATCCTAAGATTTTGTACTTTCTTCCTTCCATAGTCACTTTGTAGTACATTGCGGCGTACGCTTTATTATTTCTGACCCTTTTGAAAAAAAAACAATATGGAATAGAACGCAGTGTACTTTAAAGTAAGTATAATTTTAATGTCAACGAAGTTAGCGAATAAGCCTGCAGTTGCAACGACAATAAGCTCCTATAGTCGATCTTCCCTCGCTCCCTGGCTTGAACAAGGTGGGGGTTCTGATTATGCGCGGGGCTGACCTTCATGTTGCCGCCGCCGCAGCTGGCGCCCATGAGGAAGCAGGCCTGGCGCGAGGAGAGCAGCTGCGCCCACACCAGGTCACGGTCCAACGCCTCCAGCGGGCCCGCGCCGCCGCCGCCTGCCTGCAGCGACACCGACTCGCACGGCGCGCCCGTCAGCGTGCACAGCCCTGCGTAAAGGTAATGATAGAGCGACAGGTTTATGTTTAGTTTAGTTTAGTTTAGTTTGCGACGGGCTGTTTTCCGCAACTTCACGTCTATGCGCGTATTTTGCGTGTGGGCAGGAATAATGTGATTATTCGAGCCATGAGATCTCCACGAAGAAGCTCAACAGTCCCTTGATGTTGCATGCAACTTCGGGGGAGTGATCCCGGCGTGCCGAGATGTTTAGCCCTGTACGTAGCGACCTCCGGACATTTCAGTAGCACGTGGGCCGCCGTTTCTTCCTCCCCCATACATGCCCTGCACAGGGGACTATCTGTAACACCTATAGTAAATAAATGTTTGTTAAAGGTGCCGTGTCCTGTGATAGCACTTGTTACTATCCTGATCTGCGGCTTGTTCAGTCTCATTAGAACTTTGGTTAAGCGACTGTTTATTATAGGTAGGGCCTCCCTAGCTTGTCTACAGTCTACTAGATTTTTCCAAAGCTGAGCGTGTTGATTAGTGAAGTGTCTACGTACCATTGAACGAACGTTACCAAAGGGGATTGGTATGATTGGTTCCGGCCCTATAGTGGCCAGAGCCGATCCTCTTCTGGCCAGTTCGTCCGCTGCATCGTTGCCTCTGGATCCACTGTGTCCCTTTATCCATTGCAGAGTCACATTGTTGTTTTTACATACCTCATTTAATCACGTTTATGTTACGTAGCGATAATATTATCACGACAGACGTCGGTGTGCACTGCCCTATGCATCGGTAATTTTATCATGACACCCATGTTTTATTTCACACTTCTGTAAAGAGCTATAGCCAACGTGCTACGCACGATGCTCCCACTAATTTTCATAATTCTAAAACGCGTACAAATGACACCCTCTTAATTAAATTCAATGTGTACGATCATGACTCCCATGTCGCATCAGGAAAGATTTAAATTATTTGAATTTGGTTTCTAAAGTATAAATTGGATTCATGGCCGTTACCGTTACAGCCCACGTACTACGTACTCCCGTTTAAATACTTCCTTGCAATTCCTTTTATAGGTTCTTCCTTTTATACGTGGTAGTGCCCAGCTGCAATGTTATTAGAAGTATAGTTGTAGCACGAATTCGTCGGCTCGACCGGGATGGACCGCACTCTCATAGAATACCCGTGTAAAATAGTATCTTAATGCTGCTGTGTTTCGTATGGTGAGTGTAGAGATCCGGAGACCCTTTTTACTGGAAACGAGGCATTCGATCTTAGTCCTCACGGGTGACAACGCATCTGCATTTTGATTCGTAATCGAGAATAGATGTAGATGTTTATGGGCCACAGCAACCACTTACCATCAGGTGGACTGTGTGCTCGTTTGTAAACCTATCCTATAAAAAAAATTAAGCATGACTATAATGTAACCCATACAATACACACATATATACAGAGTGTTAGTGTAAACACCGTTGTCCTTGAAACCAGTGGTTTGGTTTCACTTATAGAACGTAAATTCAATGAATTAAAAAAAACTATTTTATTTCATCAAATTTAAAAAGCTTCTGTCCGACACCGTCCGTAAATTCATGGATACCCTATGCGCCCGAGTGACGTAATCACCGTAAAGATCACCGCCCGCGCTAGCTACCCACACAACATTCAACATAAAAACACAATAGGTACACATAACCTGTGAACTTTTTCTTCACACTTTCATCCTAGCTTAGGACAGGCAAAAATTGAGGAGTTAACGAAAAATTGAGATTTTACTAAAAAAAAATGTTGTTATTTTTCATTGAATTTACGTTCTATAAGTGAAACCAAACCACTGGTTTCAAGGACAACGGTGTTTACACTAACATTCTGTATATCATTAGTGGGGTTTTAGTTGAGGTTGGGAATATGTACGAGCCGACACGACACTCATACAGATTGGCGCTGTGTTCCATACAATATACATCGTTATTTTATCGTACACAAAATAACAATCTTGAGTAGATTTGCTACAAGCAAAACTCTATTCATTGCAATTGATTATTAAATTAAATAGATTTTCTCAAAGCAAAGGTGTAGTGCCTTTACAATAAAGCGACGTTGCGTCTCTTAAAAATAAGTAAAATTTATGATATATATGGTGTTAAATTTTGTTCTAATATACCTTTTATAATTCTGTAATAAGAACACAAAAAAATTAAAATCATCATATTATAATCATCATCATTACAGCCCTTCACAAGTCCACTGCTGAACATAGGCCTCCCCAAGTAATGCCACAAAGCACGGTCCTGAGCCACCTGCATCCATCGACTTCCTGCATGTCTTACCAGGACGTCACTCCATCTAGTGTTAGGTCGCCACTCAATGCATTTTTATTTAAAATGATAAGCCACAACCTGTACATTAAGGCCGAATACGAAGCGAACTGGCGAAAATTAATGTATTTCTCTTGACTAGAACTTTGACCTGAAGTAATTCTAAGCTTTAAAACATTTTTGTATGTTTGTTCGGGTCCTTCACAAGGTCACCGTCATTTTAAAATTTTAAAATAAATGAATATACCAACAAATAAAAAAATGTTAAGAAATGATATATAAAATTATTGTTCTTCCAAAACTGTGAATTTTAATTTAGGAAAAATTCTTTTACGTAAAAATGTTTGTATTGTGATTCCGAAGGTACCTGCTATCTTTATTTTCGATACAAAATATTATTTATTAACATAATTCGTTTTAATTAAAACACCTAATAATAATATCGTATATTGCCAGATAAAAGTTTGCCGTAATAAATTACCAGGCGCTTCGACGTGTGACGTAAAATAACAACAGTCGATGTGTCTGTAGTGAAAATCGTTAATTTATTGTTTTATACGCGTTTAAGTGTCTATAAATGTAAATATGGGTAGGAAAAGAAATAAATGTTACCTAAGTGGTAAAACAAAGAGAGTTTATAGCATGAACGCTGCTCGAATGTTGTATTTTGAGGTTAATACTTATATTTTTGTAAGGTAATTTTTTGTTTGAGGCTGCCTAATAGGTTGCATTTTTACTCATTTACATTAGCCAAACTGATCATTTATACTTTTCTAGTTTCAAGTGAGAAACACTAAAAATGTAAAATATCAAGACCCAGTCGGAAAAGAATGTACAGAGTAGTGCAAGCACAGAGACCGCAAATAATGTCAGTCAATGTACTGTCCGAAAACATGGGGTAAAAGTACATAATTAAGAAAAACCGAAATACTTCGGATGTGAAGTGATTGACCAGTCGGAGTAGTCTTGTGAGAATTTACATACACAGTACCTATCCCCACTATGGGGCAATCACCGACTTTTTAGTTTTTTTTTTCTTTATTATTTATGCAATTTGCATTACGGCATCTTGTAAGACTCACAAGAACAAACATTTTCAGTTATATGAGGTTCTTAACGTACGATGCACCAATTAAGAAAAAAAATCGTTATCAATTCAATAACTTTTCGAACAATTTTTTATAACGAATAAAGTACAGAATTTATAATCTATAGGAACTAATATTATAAATAAGAAAAATTTATTTAAGAAGTAAGCAATGCTCTCTGTGTTGTTCATTACTCTGCATCTGAGCTAGCTCCGTCAAATATAATCAAAGCCCGTACGGCTTTGATTATAGGTATTATACATGTCTATATAAACAAAGCGTAGGTACTGGCGGCGCGTGGTTTGCTGCGAAACGAGCAAGGTCATTCACGTCGTATTCGGCCTTAAGTTAAAAGAACGATAACGTTAGTTTTACGTGAGCTGCACTAAATGTAAATTAGGTTCCATTTCGTTTTAGGGAACGCTGTAAATTGTAACAGTATAATAATATGACGACAAATATTAAATATAAAAAACTATTATCATATACCCTCAATAGCTCTTCCGGAGACAAGTGCTTCGTAACAACCGTGCAGTTTCGCTACGGCTTTTTCAATCAATGGAACCCACAGCTGTTTCCGCTTCGCCTACGAAAATAAAATTAATTCAATTTAGTTTTAATTCTTTAATTTCAAATATATTATTCCGTATTTTTTTTTGTTTTACATTTGTATATTAAACAAGCTGTATTTCAGTTTCAAATGCAAATTATTATATAAAACACAGATATGTAAGATAAACTCTTTTGCCTTGACTTGTATTCCACAGACTTGAAAAAGGAACATTTGAAATTACACAAAATCACTCAGTCAATCTGTCAGTAATTATTTGTTGTCAACGTGTTAATATTTTTTGTTTATTATATCTTTACTCTATGCGACTGTTTTACAGGCTTACTCATAAAAATCGATGTCAATTTAAGAAAAGCTTGAAAGTCGCCCTCTCTCTTTTCACTGAATTATATTAGAAAGACACAGATATAGAGATAATTAATTCTTAATGTAAATAAGGTATAATCAACTATTATAAGCAAGGCCGTAAATGTTTTAGTGTCATTAAATGTGTTTGTGACATATTTCATATATTATGTATAAATTTTAGCTATCTGTACTCCCTTCATGTAAACTTTAACTGTATATATAACTATTAATTTATCAATATCGGTCAGAACACCATCACGCAAAATCGCGTACAGTTGCATACAGTTAAGTACAGTCGCGTACAGTCGCGCACAGTCGCAGATAGTCACGCATAGGCAAGAAGGACCCTGCGCAAGCGGGTACCAACCTGCGAGTACACGAGCTGGCCCTTCTTGTTGCAGGGCAGCAGGTCGTCGACGGTGACGGTGAGCCAGCGGCCGTCCTTGCACAGGCGCAGCTGGTAGGCGCCGCGCGCCGGCTCACCGCGCACCAGCACGCCGCGCACCAGCGCGCTGCGCTCCGCCAGCACCGCCAGCGCGGACAGCAGCCAACAGTTGCCCAGCACTCCTGCACACACATACGCGCACACGCGGCATACAGTCCATTGCATAAAGTGCATTGACATTTTGTTTCTCGATCAGAGGTGCCAAACCTTTAATTCACTGACTGTATGTGTTGATGTGAATACGTCTTTACATTAGCTTTCATAGTAGATAACAACTCAAAATTTTAAAAAACTGCGATTGCCAACCCGCGTGCCAAACTTGGCAATCATGTAAAAATCTTTCCTATGAGGTAATCTATGGAGTGGCCTAAGTTCAGCAGTGGAATTTTAGATGCTGTAATGGATAGATCTATTATGTTGATTTGACTAGCACACAACATTAACAAACAGAAATTCGTAGTAACAATTACATATTGGTAATTATGCTGTTTTTTGACCGTCAAAAAGTTCCAGCCTCAGTGATAATCTGTGGAGTAACACAGCAATACTTTCAGTCAGGGCCGGATTTGACTCACAAACAACCGGAAATTAGTTTAAAAAAACTTGATTGAAATAAAAATATAAGATAAGTATTATGTTGTTTCAGTAGAAGAAGTACTCGTATTTTAAAGTCCTATTTAGCTATGTACGGCATGGAAACTTTTCCTAATTATCAAGTACATTTGATAACAGATTAAAATAAATTTACTATATATAAAGCTGTAATGTCGTGTATACCACGCCATAAAGTGCATTGACCCTTTACGTCCTTCGATTAGGAGTGCCCCACCTTTTATTAAACGACTGTATATATTTTGGATGTATGTTAAGCGATATCTTTGTCAATGAGGGCTAATAATCTTTTGTTCACCAGATGTCGCTAGTTGGAACTAAGGTGAAATTTTTAGTTACATAATATTAATTGAGTAGTTACGTTTTAAATAAAAAGGTTTATCGGAAAATAAAAACATAAAATAATGCATCAGTGGTTTCTTCCTTTTTTAACTTCTTTCCCCGTCATGTAATTTGTCAAATATTTCACTTTGTTTGTAAGTGCTAAACAACTTGAATGACTCTTTTTTTAAAACAATGTGCTTAAAGCCATGCTGCAGCTACAGTATGGTTGTAGCACAAATGGGTCGCAGGTAAAGCAGCAGAATAATGCTGCTGCTTTTGGAATGGTGAGTACAGAGAACTGGAGGCCATTTTTACTTCAAACGAGACATTTCATCTTAGTCCTTAGTGGTGACAATGCATCTGCATTTCGATAATATATGTAGATGTATATGGACCACAGCACTTACAATGGACTATGTGCTCAATTGTCACCATTATTCTATAAAATAAAAAATTCACGGTCAGTACGAGCAGTACGGGCAGTACACAACCTATGAGAGTTCGGAGGGGCGCGGCTTGCGGAACACCAGCTAGGACAGGCGCGGTTTCGCGTCCACGTGTATCTGGTGTGGGCGGGCAGTACGCACCCTGCAAGATGTGGAAGGGGCGCGGCTCGCGGAACACTAGCCAGGGTAGGCGCGGATCCGCGTCTACGTATATCTGGGGCAGGCGGGCAGTACGAGCAGTACGGACAGTACGCACCCTGCGAGATGTCGGAGGGGCGCGGCTCGCGGAACACCAGCCAGGGTAGGCGCGGGTCCTCGTCCACATGTATCTGGTGCGGGCGAGCAGCACGAGCAGTGCGGGGAGTACACACCCTGCGAAATGTCGGACGGGCGCGGCTTGCGGAACACCAGCTAGGACAGGCGCGGTTTGCGCGTCTACGTATATCTGGGACGGGCGGGCAGTACGAGCAGTGCGGGCAGTACGCACCCTGCGAGATGTCGGAGGGGCGCGGCTCGCGGAACACCAGCCAGGGTAGGCGCGGGTCCTCGTCCACGTGTATCTAGTGTGGGCGAGCAGTACGAGCAGTGCGGGGAGTACGCACCCTGCGAAATGTCGGAGGGGCGCGGCTTGCGGAACACCAGCTAGGACAGGCGCGGTTTCGCGTCCATGTGTATCTGCTGCGGGCGGGCAGTACGCACCCTATAAGATGTGGAAGGAGCGCGGCTCGCGGAACACTAGCCAGGGTAGGCGCGGGTCCGCGTCGTCCTGGATCTGGGGCGGGCGCGCAGTACGAGCAGTGCGGGCAGTACGCACCCTGCGAGATGTCGGAGGGGCGCGGCTCGCGGAACACCAGCCAGGGCAGGCGCAGGTCCGCGTCCACGTGTATATGGTGCGGGCGGGCAGTACGAGCAGTGCGGGGAGTACGCACCCTGCGAAATGTCGGAGGGGCGCGGCTTGCGGAACACCAGCTAGGACAGGCGCGGTTTCGCGTCCACGTGTATCTGGTGCGGGCGGGCAGTACGCACCCTACAAGATGTGGAAGGGGCGCGGCTCGCGGAACACTAGCCAGGGTAGGCGCGGATCCGCGTCTACATATATCTGGGGCGGGCGGGCAGTACGAGCAGTGCGGGCAGTACGCACCCTGCGAGATGTCGGAGGGGCGCGGCTCGCGGAACACCAGCCAGGGCAGACGCAGGTCCGCGTCCACGTGTATATGGTGCGGGCGGGCAGTACGAGCAGCGCGGGGAGTACGCACACTGCGAAATGTCGGAGGGGCGCGGCTCGCGGAACACCAGCCAGGGCAGGCGCGGGTCCGCGTCCACGTGTATCTGGTGCAGGCGGACAGTACGAGCAGTGCGGGGAGTACGAACCCTGCGAGATGTCGGAGGGGCGCGGCTCGCGGACACCAGCCAGGGCAGGCGCGGGTCTGCGTTCACGTGTATCTGGTGCAGGCGGGCAATACGAGCAGTGCGGGGAGTACGCACCCTGCGAGATGTCGGAGGGGCGCGGCTCGCGGAACACCAGCCAGGGCAGGCGCGGGTCCGCGTCCACGTGTATCTGATGCGGGCGCAGCCAGCGCGCCGCCGCCCCGCCCTCACCACCCACGGGGCCCGCGCCGTCGTAGTACAGCGAGCGCGCCGCCGCCGGGAACGACTCGTCCACGTACGGCTCGCCGGTCTGCGGACATAGGCGATGTAATCTTTATTCACTACAGCCAGATCTCAATGTATACTACTAGACGGGCACTACGGTGCTAATACATTGCACACTAAGTTACAGTCAATTCTCCATAAGTCGACTGCGAGAGACCGGGAAAAGTTTCTGTTTTGTAAACCGCGAACGTCGTTTTCAACAATGTAACACAGATTTTGTTTAATGTGACTAAACGCAATGAACTTTTACAGGCTGTAAACATAGACTTATATACTATAAACGAACCACTTAATTGGCGGATCGCTCGCAGGGTAAGAAGTTTGCCGGAGGGGAGTGACGTACGGGCGTTACAGGGCAGTCAGGCGGGCGTAAGCGGTAGGGAACATTTTTAATGTTTGGCAGTTCACTCGCGGATCTCGCAGTGAACATTTGATAATATCCGTCACGGACGCTTGGAACAAAACGCACACGAGATTAAAGTGCCAAGATCAATGCCAAGAATCAAGATTAATCGACCTCAGGTTTTTGGTAAGTAAATTGCAAAAAGCAAGAAGCAAGCGAAACAAAGGGCGTACTACTTTTATTCTTTCTTTAAAGCCAGAAAATAATATCGAAGTTCTACGGAGTAGCTCCAAGTCGCAATCGTGAATAAATTGTTGCAGAAGCAACAGGAGTCTCATAGTCTACTAAAAGTATGAAAGTCATCACTTGAAAACGGCTGGACCGTTTGATTAAATTTTGGGTGTATATTTGAACGGGTATCTGTATGGTTTAAATTAACAATTGGACCGGGTAGGTGGCACTGTTGTCGAGATTCGGAATTTACACGTGCAAAGCCTGGACGGATCACTCGTATGCAATAAAATACAATATATAAATGGAATATTATGAATAAAATAAATATTATGTTGCAAACCCATTTTATATTTCAGCCCACAGATGCTTAAAATAAAAAAAATACATAGCGAGATAAAAATACTCGTAAATTTGCATTGTTTCATATTGCAACCACCGAACATTAACGCGGGATCTATCTTGGGTTAATTAATTACGTATCCTCTCAACTGCGGATGTCCAAGACTTGGACACGAAAATATCTCCGTTGACTGCGGCTGTCCAAGTGTTAGACATTTTTTACCCGCTCTTATAATAGCATTATGCGCTATTTCTAACTCATTCTACCATATGTCAATGTGTACAGGATAAAAAAAGGCTAGCATAAAAACCCCACAGCTTATACACTTTAGTAGTATATTTTATTTAAATCATTCTTAAATGTCGTCCGTTCCTTGAGTCAGCCATTAGTGTGATTGACGCGCGCTAACAACGAAGTTGTTTGTAACTATTTTGTATTAATTTATATTTATTGTGTAGTGAATTGTGTTAAAACAATGCCTGGGTAAGTAACCTTCTTATTTGTAATCTCATTTTGTGTTTTATCTTATTAAGTACGTGTAAAATCGTTTTTTAATATGTATGAAGCAAACTGCTATCTTAGAACTAACATGCTGGTTGAGGAACGTTGACTTGAAATGTGCGTAAAATTTTAGTTTTGACTGTCAGTTTTGTGTTAAAATATGTGTAATTGTTCATCGTTCACAGTTTTAGTACATTAAAATGAGGATAAAGTGCAATATTTTCAAAATTTTAATGTAAATACGCAATAGGTGCAATAGTGTCCATTTTTGTGACGTCCGCGGTAGTGAATTCTAGTTCTCTGTTTTGCGGGTGGCGAAAAAAGGAACTAAAGTTTGCCATACTGCATCAAGTTCAAATTCGGTTGAATGGTTAGAATGGTAAAGAATCTAGCGCCCTCGAGCAGAGAAATGGAGCTTGGTTGACTCCACGATTATTCGATGATTTATGAAAAATAACCCAAGACTTCGGAATTTTTTAACCAATTTATTAAATCAGAAAATTAGAAAGTATTTACATAATATGCTTTTTAATATTTTTATTTTAATATTATTTAATATTTGAAATTTTTATTTTTTTAATTTAATATGTTGAGTGATTTTTAAGGTCACCTCAGACACATATTTCTTATTTTGGTTTTTTTAGTGTACATTTTATCTGTATGTACTTTGCAACTAACTAAACTAACTAAACTACTACTTTGCAAATCGTGTAACGTTGCGTTATGTATCAACCTAGAGCAAGATTGCTGCTACCTACAGTACCATTCATAAATGAATTGTACTGTAGATACAGTAAATCCAACAAGTACCAGGAGCCTTTTAAAGAAATGAGTACCTATGTTATATAATTATTCAATTTTATACGTATGTCCATCCATCCATTTAGTTTTTATTGTTGCCTAGCTATAATTTGTTCAGCTAATTATTTCAGACTATCATCGTCGAAATTGTTAAGTTAGTTAAGTTACACAGCCTATTTCCGTCCCACCGCTGGGCCTTCCCTCACTTCTGAAAAGGTTTTAGGGCAAAGAAGTGTCCGCCGCGCTGCCCATATGAGTGTTGGCGAACTGCACATGCCTTGGAAAATTTTTTTTATTTCTCAGACAGTCTGACTTCCTCATGATGTTTTCCTTCACCGCCGAGCAAGAGGTAAATCAGCACTTAAAATTGCAATTAATAATTTCATTGAGGCTGGCGGGGATCGAACCCGGTGTGCTAGCGTACTGTGAAATTTAAAGCGAGAGCTAACAATCTGAGCTACCAGGGTTCTCTCATCGTCGAAATGAATACTTAAGTTAGTTAAGTTACAGTCTTTTTACGCCCCACAGCTGGGCAAAGGCATCCCCTTATTTCTCAGAGGGTTTAGGGCAAAGAAGTTTCCGCCGCGCTGCCCCAATGCGTGTTGGTGAACTTCACATGTCTTGGAAATATTTTTTTCTTATTTCACAGACGTGTAAGTTTCCTCACAATGTCTTTGAGCACGTGGTAGATCAGCACTTAAAATTGCAATTAACAATTTCATTATTGCTAGCGGGGATCAAACCCGGCTTGCTAGCGTACTGTGAAATTTACAGCGAGAGCTAACCATCTGAGCCACCACGGCTCTCATCTTTGAAATGAATACACCTATAGGATAGGGTGACAAAAGAGCACGCAGTCCACCTGTGGTGCTTGCTGCGGCCCATAGATATCTACATCTATCCTCGATTACAAATCAAAATGCAGATGCATGTCACCCGTGACGACTAAGATGGAACGCCTCGTTTCCAGTAAAAAGGCTCTCCGGTTCTCTACACTCACCATACGAAACACAGAAGGATTAAGCTATTATTTCACGCTGGTATTCGTTGAGAGCGTGGTCCTTCCCCGGTCGAGCCGGCCTATTCGTGCTACAACTATACTACTAATATAACTGCAGCATGGCTCTACCACGCATAAAAAAATGTTTTAATGGACTAGTACATGATGCACAAAAAAGTGCAGAGTCGGACTTTAATTGTGGCATATTTTTGTATAATGCATAAGAAGTGGGTTCTTTAAAAATATACATAATTAATATTTTTTTTTATTTCAGGAAGAGATATATTTATTTTAAATTTTATTATTTCGTAGCTATTATTTGTGTTAAAGAAAATATTATGTTACCTTTTGGAGAAATAATGTTGTTGGTTATTGGAAATGTAACATAACCGCTGAGCACCTCGCGGCGCCTCTGTCACTCGACACATATTATGGTGCATTGGGTATTGTTTACAAAAAACGTTATTTATAACTCTACATCAGCGGGAGTGACCCTTGAGTGTTTTTATGGTTTTTAAAGGAATTAATGAATCTTTATTTCTGTACAAGTGCTGTTAAAGTTTGTTTGCTCAAATAAAGTAATTAATTTTTCAATAAATATGGCACTTACGACTAAAATTTTGATATCGGCATTAAGAGTACTTATGAAATACTTTATGAGATTTCTAAAACTTAGCAAGACCTATTGAAAGATGACTGAATCATGTAAAGAAAAAGAGAGGTTCAAGACTGAATCATTATAATGAAATTATAAAAACTATTTTTATTGACAGCATTACGCCGCATTATGCCGCATCTGGTCCGAACTACATTCTACATCGGTGTAAGTTGATTGTGTGTTCTTGTAAGCTTATTATTAATCCGTTTTATGATAAAAAATTATATTGTAGCCTATGATTTTGCACATATAATATTGTAAACAATAGATGTAAGATTAAAATAAAATAAAATTGAACTATTAAAAAACTTTGTGTCATTGAGAAATATGATAGTTTTGACTTTATTCAATATTTAGTTATACTAATTACTTTAAAACTTTATTAAATATATGTACTCGTTTATAGGAAATTTCATAGAGAATTCAGAAATGTATACATACTCGTATTATAGTATTCGATATACCAAAATCAAGATATTTGCGTTTAAACTGATTGGGCCCAATCAGCCGTCCATTTTATTAAACAGCTCCGCAGTCAACGGAGTATTACGGTTAGAGTCTCCGCAGCTGAAAGGGTATGCGCCGATTTCCGCCCTCACCTACCTCCACACCGCGCAAGCGATCCGCCAATTAAGTGGTTTATTTATAAACGAGCACTACAATACGCGCATTGAATTACGGTCAATTCTCCGTGAGTTCTTTAGACGACTGCCAACCACTTACCATCCAGGTGAACTGTGTGCTGGTTTGTCACCCTTATTCTAGAAAATTATTATGCCTTGACTTCTCCCTCCCCTTTCCACCATTGGACAATCAAGCGGTCGGCGGGCCTTCATATTTTATTGTTGATATTCCACACCAAACGGTTTGCTTCGTCTTTCGTAATGCATACAGCAAAAGAGAGGAATAACGTACCGACGTCTGATTTTCCATCTGATTACAACCTGGGCATCTTCAAGGCAAGAATGGATAGGCTTTTGTCTATATATAGATGTTATAGAATTATTCAAGCACTGGCTTATAATAAGTAAAACAATATAGATTCATTAACAATGCTATAAAAACTTACAGCTGCACACTGCGCCAGCACTTCTTGCCACTGCGTCCAAGCATGACTCTCCTCTCTCAACCGAAGGATTTCCATTGGAGTGCTTTCTCGCTCCGAATCTGAACCTTCCGCTGTAGAACATAAAACATAAAATACTTTGAAAAATACCATAATAGTCCAACCACAATTAATTTGTTACCATTTTAATAATGTAAAATTCTAAGGAGTCACTTAACACAATACAAATTAAAAATAAATAAAACGATCAGAACAAAAAACGCTTTAAATTAAAAAATGTGGTAGACAAGCTTTTCTCTCAGCTTTTTTGATCCAAATTAAAGCTAGCAAAGAAGATACTAGGGCTACATGATCTACATCGATTAAAATTTAAAAATCATATAAACAAATTGATTTAGACTTCAGCCCGCGGGCTGCGTACGTGGCGACTACAGGAAATGCCTGAAAATTCTTATGACCTCCGATAGATGGCGGTATAAAATATCGTTTATGTCAGACGTAAAATACCCAGACCGGCGACAGGTGACAGCGTCAAATGTACTCACGACTGATGAAATCCTGCCTACAATAGGAGGGGCACATTTTTATAGCAGAGGGGGCAAACGAGCCTGCGGCTCACCTGATGGTAATGACTACCGCCACGCATGAACAACCGCAACACGAGGGAAATAGCAGATGCATTGCCAGCCTTTTAGAAAGGAGTAAGCTCTTTTCTTGAGGATCCCTAAGTCGTATCGGTCCGGAAAAATCGCCGGTGGTAAATAATTCCACAGAGAAATTGTACGATGAAGAAAACTCCTAGTAAAACGCACAGTGATGGGCCGCTAAGCATCCAGATGATGGGGATGGTATCGCGAGTTTTGACGCGATGAGCATTCGTGAAAATTGGCGGGTGGAATTAATCCGAAGACTTCCTCAGAGCACTCCTTGTGGTCGATGCGATAGAAATTGCAAAGGATAGTAACATCTCTACGCATCACCAGTGAATCGAGTTGATCAAAAAGAACTCGGTAACATCTCTACCCATTGCCAGTGTATCGAGTCGATCAGAAAGAACTCGGTAACATATTCAGTAGTGTAATGATATTAGATGGTAAGACTCCTTTTGTGTCTAGTAGTTCGTATAGGTAGAAACTGCACTCTTGTCTTTTTCTTTTACGAAATGACAGTGCATGCACTTCTGTGTTTCGGTCTGTAGGATATAGAGAGCCAGTATAATTAAAACCTGTGAAGTATTCTATCCGAGTTTTGAGAGATGATGTTTGTATATTTTGCTTTAAGTTTGTTGCAGAGGCCCATGGGCTTGTAGCGGCGCTGTCGTCGCGCCGCAAGCGAAACACACCGCAGCCTAAATCACGCTATCAAAATTCCGAATCAGAAACAGTATATATAGAACATCTTCGAACTATCACACGGAGTGTTGGCCGCTCCCCGGGCAGAACACCTTGCCCGGCGGGAGATTTCCCCTTCTCCTTCAACCACAGTAGGTTGTTCGTTGCGTGTTCAAATCACGTCGGGGTCACCACTGTGGCCGGGGAGCGGCCAACACTCCGTGTGATAGTTCAGAGATGTTCTATATATACTGTTTATGATTGGGAATTTTGATAGCGTGATTTAGGCTTCGGTGTGTTTCGCTTGCGGCGCGACTACAGCGCCGCTACAGGCTGCAATAGATTATTGCAATAGTTAAATAATTTCTCACTTAAGTTTTTTAAAACAATGGATTTTTTTACAAGTTATTTCTACATCCCTCGGTGTCTTTCGTAAGTCTTTCGGTTACGAAAGATATTATTTATAATATTTTTAGATGGTGCAGTGACTACGCATTTTAAATTTGATGTTATTTATATCTGAGGGTATTTTTGAACCGTAGTTTCAAAACCACGGGTGAGCCTACAAAATTCGCATTTGGTTGCGCAATTCTTAAGCTGCCTCTGAATGATATTCGAGTATGTGTATGTCTAATTCATTGGCACGCTCTGATATTTTGTAACATATGTGGTATCGTTAGATTCGTGTTAGTTTTGGAAGTGACATAGGGTATAATGTTTGGGAATTTCTATTTTCGGTACTCTCTTTTACTATTTTAACCATTAAGGATATCAACAAAATACTTACTAAGATAAGTATGAAGCTACCATATGAAGCAACGGGTGGCGAACAAAGACTTGTATGTATACAACTCTTTCTTGTATGGAGATCTCGCGGCTGCGCGGAGAGATATTTTCATTTACAACAATAACTGTTTTCAGTCAAATAAGAAAAAAATAAAATTATTTACTAATGTGAAATAAACTTCAACTCACGTTGACAAAGTGTGCACATAAATAAGGAGAGCGTTTTTTTAGTCACATTAAATAAAATCAGTGTCAGATTGTCGAAAACAACGTTCGTTTACAAAACAAAGAACTTCCAGCTCGCAATCGACTAGTTACGGAGAATTGAGCGTAGCTTAGTGTGCAATATATTAGTACCGTAAGTGTATGTCTAGAAGTATCCATTAAAGTCTTTGTTGTGAAGCTACTTTGGCTTATCAAGGAGTTACAGCGCTAAAGGCGGCGGATTCGAATCCCCGACAGAACATAATTTATATAGCATATATATTTAAATAGCCTATAAATGATTGTTCTGGGTCTGGATGTTTGTCATTTTGCAATTTACGTATGTAAATTGTAAACACAATACAGGAGAAAATACTAGTGAGGAGGTAATTTTATTTAAAAAAAAATCGGGGTATGGTTGTATCGTGGACACGGCCGTGTTTTACGTGAATAAGTGTACGTAACGGCAAAATTTATACAAACGGAAATTATGAGGCGTAGCGTAGTTAAAATGACGTCACTCTCGCCTCCTCACAGTCCTCACTCAACGTAATGACTTGTTTGATTATTTAGCTATCGAATTGTGTAATTAAATTTTGAATGTAGACGATAGACATGTTCTTACAACACCAAACTGTATCCCGATTTTGTAATCACCCGTTTTCTGAAATGCCAACACTATGGAAGCTAATTTAAAGACGTATTCACGTCAAAACTAAAAAAATCAAACGAGGCAACGGTCGCAATTGTCGACTGACTAAAGGAATATGGCGAATTGAGCGTAACATAGTTCGCAATGTATAAGGACCGTAGTGCCCGTTCAGTAGCATACGCAGAAGTCTTTAGGGTGGAGCTACTAAATTAAAAGCAAATAAAACAACGAAGTGTTTGGTGGATGAGTGGGTGGGTGGTATTTACGCGAGTCGTCATCGACTGACTAAAGGACTCACGGAAAACTGACCGTAGTAAGAAGTTAGTGCGCAAGGTGTAAGCACCGTAGTGCTCGTCTAGTAGTAAACAAGAAGTAACTTAGGTGAGTGAGTGGGTGAGTGTGCGGACGGTACTGACGCGAGTCGTCGTCGTCGCCGGCGGACTGGTGCGGCGCGGGCGGCAGGTGGCGCGTGCGCGGCGCGTGGCACATGTCGCACGCGAGCGCACACGCACCGTTCGCGTACGTGCACTCCGAGCACGCCCACTCGCCCGACTCCCACCTGGTGCAACGTACTGCTTACATACATTGTATATACAAAAATATTCATTCATTCACTCATTCAGTACAGCCCTTCACAAATCCACTGCTGAACATAGCCCTGTCTCAAATAATGGCACAAAGCACGGTCCTGTACCACCTGCTATCCATCGACTTCCTGTATGTCTCACCAGGTCTTCACTCCATCTAGTGGGTAGCCACTCATTTTTCTTTGTCGCCATTGTTATCAGTTCTTCGTGCTGTATGGCCGGCCCATTGCCACTTCGGCTTACAAATTCGTTGGGCTATATCGGTTACTCTGGTTTCACTGCGGATATCCTCATTTTAAAGTTTCTAACGCAAAGAAACTCCGAGCACAGCCCTCTCCATTGGTTACTATAGCCCAATAATATAATAATATATAGTTCTATTATTGGAGCTATATTACTTACATCTTAACAATAATATACAGAGCTATTTTGCAATATATGGGCGAATACTGAAGAAAAATTAATTTTGGAACCCTTATTTATTTGTATTTTCAAAAACTACAATATACCGTCTATCATTATTTATATATTTGAACTTAAACATAAAATTTGGTTACTCTTTGAAAAATAACCCTGTAATACCACGGACTGGATTATGGTAAATATACAGCCTTTTTTATTTAACGAACGTTTTTTTCATTTCCTCGTCGTGTGACTTAATAAAATGAAATCACGCTCGTGCATTGTACCAGAAAAACAGAACTGCGATCAGCACATTTTGCGTTGTGCTCGAGTTGAGTACACATGTACGCCGGATCTTACGCCTCTTTGAGACTATACGTTTATGCATCTATCGTTTTACTACAGGCATTATATTTGAAAATCTTTTGAAGTAACTTATTACTTGTTTCTATAGTCCTGAACTTTTTACAAAAGAGTACCTTGTAATCCGACAAAGTACAGATGTAATGATAAGATTCTGTATGTTATATATACATATGTTCTACATATAACATAATGCAGTATGATTTGTATTCTGAAGTAAAAATCATACTTCGTTATGTGTGACAAATTTAATAAATTAAACAACACAATAGAGAGCTCACGTTTTATCATGAAGTTTACGTCATTTGTGCTATAGAACTTACAACAAATATGCAATAACTTTACATTAGGAAATAAATGTGTACAAATATACGTACTAATGTAATAAAAAATTTAAGAATATAAGAAAAATTTAAGAGCGTTATCAAGAAGCAATAACGCTTTTTAAAGAAGATTATGATTTTTCAACCATTTTCTAAATTAAAATTTTCAATCAGAATCAAAACAATATTCCGCGCATCGAGCATATATACGATAATATAATAGATACGAAAAATATATTCTTATTCGAGGATAAATGTAGACGTCTATGGGCCACAGCATCCACTTACAAACAGGTGGACTGTGTGTTAGTTTGTCACCTTTATTCTATAAAAAAACTTACTTTGGTTCAGGGGGAGGGGTTTTGTGCCTGGAACCTCGACGTGGCAGAGCAGGTGTATGGCGGGAGCTGCGTCTTGGCGATGGACTACGACCTGAAGGAATTCCAATGAACTTATTCAAGTTTTCTTTGCCTAAATATAATTATTAAATTAGTTTCATGGAAGATAGGAATGACGACCGGTCTGTTTGAAACACTAAATAGTATAGTCTGATAATAGTCTGTCTGTTCTTGCGCTGCAAACTTTAGAACTACTTGGCGCATTTTGATGTTTTATTTTTTGTTTTAGTATTTATTAAGGTTTTTTATTATTGCATACATGTGAAAGTCAAATAAATAAAAAAAATATTGAGGGTATTTTCACAATTATTTCAGGTATTCCTTGAGGGTAGGTTTAATACGTGCATGTAAAAGGTTATGTAAGAATATTAGATAAATCTTAGCATTTTTTGAGCGAGTCGTGAAAAGATAGCACTACACTAGAATGGAGCCAGTGTAAGACCCGGTTAAGTCACTAATGTGCAGTATGTAACCAGCTACCAAAGTGCCTTGTAGTACCGGTACCTTATAGTGGTGGTATAAGAATATTCACTACCTTATATTCCCCGTGGGTGTTACGACACCTCTTACGAGAGGCAACAGAGGCAAGCAAATCGGGAGATGGGCAGCAGCATCTTCCTCCACCTGATGGTAAGTGGTTGCTGCGGCCCATAAACATCTACATCTATCCTAGATTACGAATCAAAATGCAGATGCGTTGTCACCCGTGAGGACTAAGATGGAATGCCTCGTTTCTAATAAAAAGGGTCTCCGATTCTCTACACTCATACACATCGAAACACAGCAGCATCACGCAGATATTTTACGCTGGTATTCTGTGAGAGCGTGGTCCTTCCCCGGTCGAGCCGACCCATTCGTGCTACAATACTACTAATATAACTGCAGCATAGCTCTACCACGTACAAAACCATCCCCCTAATGAGGGGGAAAACGTAGGATTTCAGCATATCAAGGACTTCAATAGACCGAAACTATTATAATTAATTGGTATTATTATGAAATTATCAATTATTTTACAGGAGGAAGATAAAATGGGAAACCATAACTATTTTCAATAAAACTGAAGTGTCAAATGAACTTACCTAATAGTAAGTAAAGTTACAGCCTATATACGTCCCACTGCTGGGCACAGGCCTTCCCTTATTTCTGAGAGGGTTTTAGGGCAAGGAAGTGTCCGCCGCGCTGCCCCAATGCGTGTTGGCGAACTTCACATGTTTTCGAAATAATTTTTTTTCTTATTCCTCAGACATGCGGATTTCCTCACGATGTTTTCCTTCACCGCCGAGAACGTGGTAAATCAGCACTTAAAATTGCAATTAACAATTTCATTAGTGCCGACGGGGATCGAACCCGTGTTACTTGCGTTCTGTTATATTTACAACGAGCGTTAACCATCTGAGCTACCACGGCTCCACCTGATAGTAAGTGTAGGTTACCTGATAGTAAGTGGCTACTGCAATTCTTGGACACCTGCAGACAACTTCAAACGAAAAAGGAATTAAAGTCACCATTTAGTAAAAGATCTAGCCCCTTTTATTGTTTCATATGATGAATATAGATAGATAACTGGAGACCCTTTTTAGTGGAAACGAGGCATTTCATCTTAGTACTCAGGGGTGACAACGCGTCTGCATTTTGATTCGTAATAGAGGATAGATGTGATAGAGATAGAGGATGATAGGTGGTCTGTGTGCTCCTTTGTCACCCTATCCTATAAAAATGCAATTATGTTGACTCAGGTAGCCCTCATACCGAAACACAGCAGTGCAACAGCACCTAATAATGAACGAAAATACCTACAACGCAAAAAAGGTTAAAAAGCTAACATGACATGAACTCAAGGTTAATTAACACTTACCACTGGATCCCTGGTTGAGGTCTGCAGAGGAGCTGGGTACGCCATGTTTAGGCACAGGTGGAGTCTTGCAGGCCAAGCATAGGCTGGCCGACATCGGGTTGCGCAGAGTACACGAACTGCACGACCTGGAACAAATGTTAAATTTAAATTAGCTCCATGATGTAATAACTTTAGCATAGGGTTTAGAAACAACACAAATTTAGTTATGTGTTATTTATTTGGTTGAACAAATTCAGAATTTTTATAATAAACCGATAAACGAACTTACAATCCATCTGATGGTACCTAATGGTATGTGGCTATTGCAAAACCCTTGGGCACGCGCAATCAGCTTCAAACAAAATGTCCTCCAAACCAAATTTCAGTCACGGCGACCAGTCTTAACTGTACTGACTGGTAATCTGCGCAGGACAGGATTATAATACATGAGTGTACAAGTGCACTCTCACAGTAGGAAAGGAAAGGAAAGGAGGAATGGAAACACGACACGACGGGAGAGAGATCAGAGGCAGAACTAACAGTTTAACGTCTTTTCCAAGGCACAGGGGTAAAACACAGCTAACTTCCTGACTCCGGGCTTCTACAGATAATTTCTTGACAGAAAAACCTAACAATTGTTTTTGAACGGACCCAGGATTCGAACCCAGGACTTCATAATCAGCAGACAGTACGACCACTAAAACTGCGAGGCAGTCAGAAAATCAGGCTTTAAACAAACAAAGCTGATGGTATGGGGCTATTGCATATTATATATTTATTTATTCATAGGACACCAGCAGTGCACACATTACTACTTTTTTATTGAAATTAGGCTTAATCTAGGGACTGATGTGTGCACCGTTATAGGTGACACAGCATTACAAAATACTATAAAAATTAATACAGCAAAAGTTAATAGCTTAATTGCCGCACAAAATAATATCTAAAGATAATATATAACTAAGAATAAAACATACATATAACCAAGCGGCAGCTGCAAGGAAATTGAATATGAAATTATAATTAAATAATTTATAACAGTAATCTATCACATTTTTTCTGTATTTATACCAGTAAATCGACTCCAAAGAGTCAGTAATTACTTCATAGAGCAATGTATATGTTTTTATAACCAAACTCCTAGAAAATATGCAGGCTTTATGTATCAAAAGGTTTAAAATATTTATTAAGCAAAAATTGTTTACTAATCGTTTTATTATACTTCTAAAGTGTACCTGATTGATAATAACTCCTGGGAATGAGGTGATCGGCACCGTGCTGTTTCTAAATGTTTTCATAACAATTGTATAAATTTAATATTATAAGTTATGCTTTTAAAAAAAGTCCCACTGGGTTTTCTTACTGGTTCTTCCCAGTACAGAAGTTTTTTTCCAAACCAGTGTTAAAAGTATAAAAACTGGCCATGTGCGTGTCGGATCATACATTATAACGATAAAAATAACATGACCGCTATAACCTCTCGTCAGTCCAAAACCTTCTAAAGGTTGCTGTCAAAAAGTACGCATCTGTCCACAACCATCAGAAGGTTGCTGGTTACTTATAAACTTCAGATTCGAAACAGCCCTAGTAAAAGTATACGTATCTCCCTATAACTGGTACAACATGCAGAGAATTAAACAAAGACGGCAATTAATATCACACACGCTTCATAAACCAACCATAGAAGCTGTGAAATAGTAATACATTTATTCCGTTCAGTTGCTCGTTCTGTGACGCGGTGTCGTGTGTTTACGTGCAAAGTATTAATTGTTGAAAGTGATTTCGGAAGTCAATATTAAAGATAAACATGAATGGGTAAGTCATAAATACTTTTCTATTAATATAAAATATATTAGATGACGATTTGTACATAAATTGTTCCATTTTATCAAACATTGCTTGCCATTTCGACCGCCATGTTGAAACCATGATCGTATTAACTTCAATTGTTTTAAATTAAAAGTACAATTGTGAATGGTAAACATTGTCTTAATATCGTTAACATACTTATTTACAAACATAACAATAATTACAATTGTATAGTTTCGATTAAATATTTCATAAAACTAAAAATAACAAATTGCTTAAATCTCTCGTCCACCTGGCGGTTGTGGACAGACATGGGTCGTAAAGTTATTCACATGAAATCCGCCATCTTAGAGAGCAGGTTGTATAGTATGGATACGACTTTGGGAATGCCAGTGTTGGTATATTTTTACGATAATTTTTGGTGTGGATTTTTATTTGTTTCGTTTTATTTTTTTTTGTCAATAAATTGTTTTACTTTTTGTATGTGCATGTCATTATATTTTTTTGCACTTGATTGACAAGTGAAACACTCTTTGTTTTCACTCTTAGCCCAAGGTTATCTGGAAGAGATTGCTTTTTGTACGTAGTAGTTTTTATTGCTAAGCAATAATCCTTAGCTCGTTGCGGTGCTATAGTTGGAATAGCCTCAAAGTACGAAACGGTCACCCATCCAGTTGCAAGCTAACGCGTGCATTGCTTAAACTTTATTATGGATCTCGCACGCAAGCTATCACTAGGCTAGGGTCACTTCAAATTAAGTAAAATTAAAAAAAAATCTAAATAACAAAAATATAAATCTTTATTTTGGCAAAAAGAATTGTCAAACATTTTTTATAATAACATTCAAATGTTAATTAAAAATATAAAAAGCAAAGAAAAATAACTAATTTGTATTTCATTTTAATTTTATGTTCATGATTACAATTATTAAAGAAGTCACCACAGAAAGTATCCATACTAGCATAGCTGGGTACTACGTCATACTTGGTGCTTTTTGTAGTGAATGTGTAACTTTTAGTTGATGATTTCTAACATAATTTTGTATAAAAGATGCCTTATTTGTTTTGTTTTTAACTTAGAAAATGTTATTATATTTAGGAATGTACATTCACATGTAAATAAATTACAAAATTGTTCGTTACAAATGCAAAAGTTTGAAAGCATTTTTTTAGGGTCACTTTTTCAAGTGTTTGTTACAACTCGTTCATTTCTTAATAACTGAATAGTTGTAATGTTTGAAACTGTTTATATTAAGAACAAAGACCAAACTATAGCATAAGTTAAGATTTATAGCCCATTGTGCCTCAGGTGTCGTCGATATTGAAGTACAAAATGTGCCTTTTTTTGTGCCTGTTTCGGGTCATCTTAAGTGGCCCACATTATTGTAGAGCTTGTGGTGTGAAAAAACTGTACGTAGAGTTGTGTTTTTTTTATTCATTATTGTAAAGTGTGTTATCGTATAGTAAATGAAGTAAATATTTATTGAAATAATTGCTTAATTTTTTAATGATTACATTTTATATTCAACAAACTAGAAAAAAATCGCTTCTAGCAATTTTACCACCAAATTTATAACATACCAAAAGGGTGAACGTACACATTTACACATATTCTATTAGCTTATTTAACAATAATTCTAACAACATATCATATTATATAGTTCCCATACATAAATATTAAGATATTGCCATTTTAATGACACGCGCCACGTAGGCAATATAACACTCGTTTAGGGTTTGACAGATGCGCCAAAGCGGCTATTTTGGCCCGGACTGCTGAGAGGATAACTAAAAATGAGCCCAAATAGGAAGATAGTAACTGAAGGACTTATTTTCAAATCAGTCATAAAGGGAGTGGTAAAAAAGATTTAAAAAACTTTTCGCTTTTGAAAATAATACAATTTACATCAAATCATTTACATGCCAAGTCCTTGCAAATATGTTCATAGTTGACTAATTTTTGCTAATTCAATTGCATTTTATAAGTTGGTCGACTATTACTCGTCATCTTGTTAATTCTATTTAGCTGTGATAGTTTTCATTTTAACTTCATTATATATACTACTATGGAGTCTACTTTTCACATTTACAATAACAGCGGTTTAGTTAGTAGAGGGGGGGCTACATGACTCCAATGAAAAGCAGATTTTAAAGCTAACGGAACCCTGAATCGAAAACTTATTTTTTTATAGGATAGGATGACAAACGAGCACACAGTCCACCTGATGGTGAGTGGATGCTGTGGCCCATAGACATCTACATCTATCCTCGATTACGAATCAAAATGCAGATGCGTTGTCACCCGTGAGGACTAAGATGGAATACCCCGTTTCCAGTAAAAAGGGTCTCCGGTTCTCTACACTCACCATACGAAACACAGCAGCATTAAGCTACTATTAGACGCTGGTATTCTGTGAGAGCGTGGTCCTTCCCCGGTCGAGCCGAGCCATTCGTGCTACAACTATACTACTAACATAACTGCAGCATGGCTCTAGCACGTAAAAAATGTGTGCCATACCTCCACTGTTCTTGAGAGAACTATCTAACGACACCCCATAAGATGGAATGGACAGGTAAAAAAGAAACATCCTCCATTTACACGTATTGGATACCCATGATAAGAAAAAATTATGATTTTACATACATAAACACTCACACCTGTCACTCAGAGAGGTAGGCAGAGACTACAGACTTCCATTTGACACGATCCTGACACACCTCTCTCGCCTCCTTCACATCCATATACCTATGTATACACGCTCGTCGGTTAAGGGTACTCCTAATTTGGCCCGTTTTCAATAAATCGCCAATTTGGTCGATAAATTTTCGCCTAGGACGTCCCTTTCCGACTCTGCCATTCACTTCTGCAACATAAATTTTCTTTGTCACTCTTTCCTCATTCATTCTTTCCACATGACCAAACGATGTGATTTTATTTTACAGTTTTGTAGGCTTGACTAAAACCATGCCAAATTACAGATTTGTAGCACCTAGGTTCTCTGAGTAAAACAGCGGACAGACGGAGGGACATGGCGAAACTATAAGGGTTCCTTGTTGTGTAACCATGGTACCCTAAAAATTACTATCAATAAGAATTACAATAAAAATGATTCTATTTTATTCTATTCTATTAGAGAGTCGGGTGGGTACCCAGATACCCAGACGTATAACACTCACCAGTGGGCAGTGGGCGTAGGCTGTGCGGTGCGCGAGCCAGCACAGGCGGCGCAAGTATTGGCGGCGGGCTCGTTGAGCAGCGTGCAGCGCGCGCAAGCCCACGAGCCCACCGCTGGGCTTGGCTCCGCACCCGACACTGCACATGACAAACAAACCATAGTATTTAGGGGCGATTTTTCAATCTTCGGATAAAATTTATTCATAGGATAAAATAAATAAACAAATTAAAAATTACAGTTGTATGAATAACATAGTTTAATTGTGTCACTTTTAAATCCAGTCAGGTTATAATTTGACGTCTCCGTGGCGCAATGGTTTAGCAATGAATGGCAGCACTAAAGGCCGTAGGTTCAAATCTCGCACGGAACAAATATTTGTATGGCCTACAGATAATTGTTCCGGATCTGGATGTTTGTCCTTGTGAAATTTATGTATGTACACTGTCCACGCAAAAAAAAGGAGAAAATCCTGGTAGGTAACGTTACAAAAATTAAAGAATGGATAACTTTTATCTGATGATTGAAAAATACACTATGAATTAAACTAATTTACCATCAACCTACTATAGCTTTAACTAAAGTTAAAGCGATAATAAGCATAAAATTTTAAATTAGTACTTGTCACAAATACTTTCGTATAATAACTATTAACAATATCTTTATATATAATAATAATAATGTCCTCCAGACAATTCCGGTCACGGCGGCCTGCCTCAATCGGCACAGGACAGGATTATAGTACCCAAGTGTATGCGCAAGCACAGGTGCACTCTCTATTGCCTCACTCTCGTAATCCGATGGGACGGTAAACCGAGACGACCGGAGAGAGATCAGGCGCAGGACCCACGGCTTTACGTGCTTTCCGAGGCACGGGGGTGAGACACCGCCAACTTCCTGACTCCGGGCAACTACAGAGAATTTCTTGACGGAAAAACTCAATAATTGATTTTTGGTCCGACCCGGGATTAGAACTCAAGACCTCATGATCAGCAGTCGCACTACTACAACCACTACACCAACGAGGCAGTCATCTATATATCTTTATATATAAAAATTACGTATCACTATCACTGTTTGTCTGCAACTCCTAAACCACTGAACCGATTTCAATAAAATTATGCACACTGTGTGCAGTTTTGTCCAATTTGGGATGTTACGGCCCTCAGTTACCCCGACAAAAGTCGACTGGACTAGGGACCATCAGTAATCCAACTCGACGAGCAACCAGAGGGTTCGGGTCCAAATGGCCTATGGATAATTTATAATGGCTGGATAAGCAAACACAAAGTTACCGAGTTCCGTAGGTAGGGTCGACCACAAGGTGCCGTCAGGGGCAAGTAAATAGTAGGTGTGAGTGGTGTAGGAAGGTGTGTAATGTAACCTGACGTCACCGATGTAATCGGCTAGCAGAACCACAGGCGTTGCCCTGCTCCACAAGGTGCGATCACTCCAGTGGGCGTCCACCGTTATCTGAACTCAATTCTAACGTCACTTAGCACAAAACTGTAATCGAAGAAAGGAACGCGATCTCCTCCCGGGTCACAAAGTTTAGCGTTCCAACCGACAATGCAAAATTCCTTCGTACGATATTAAAATCTTAACACAAGCCACTCGTCGACGCCAATTAATGGCAATCGAAGTTACATTAATCACTCAAACTCAAGGAAAGCCCCGTTGTCACGTATACGTACAAAATAAGACAACGCCAAGGAGGCCGTCGTAATGCGACGTAACGATTCTTACGTAACTTCCGACCTCTAATCGACACGGCCGTAGCGTACAATCGAATATTCTAGACTAATCGGCACCGCCGCCGCCCGCCAACCAATCCCCCCGGCCCCGCCGTCAAACAGGTTCCCCGCCCAAGACGATCGCCTTGCAAGTTTTAAGTCATTACGATTAGGCCTAAACATGGGAAATTCTCGATAAATGATTTTTACTACCAATTTAAATATTCTTTATAGGACCAAAATGTCGTCGGAAAGGGCAGAATAACTTCCGGCTGGATAGCTAGTATAAAAGTTACAGCCTATATACGTGTCCCACCGCTGGCTACAGGCCTCCTCTCATTTCTGAGCGGGTTGTAGGGCAAGGAAGTTTGCGCAGTGCTGATCCAATGCGTGTTGGCGAACTTCGCATGTCTTCGAAATATTTTCTTTTCTTATTTCTCAGACATGCAGGTTTTCTCACCATGTTTTCCTTCATCGCCGACGTGATAAATCAGGACTTAAAATTGCATTCAACAATTTCATTAGTGTCAGCGGGCATCGAACCCGGTTTGTTCGTGTACTGTTAAATTTACACTGCGGCCAACACACCTTTAGCCGTCAGAACCCCTGATCAGTCTTGTGAGTCTGCTTTTCTGGCAGTGAGAGAACTCCACCACCTAACCCTGACATTCTGCCTCTGTCTGTCTGCTACCTTAGGTCTCATGGTGCAGACATCCCACACTTATTTTTGTATGTATATTTTTATGGTAGAGCTCGAGTATTAGGGACTGCTAGGGACTAATAGGTTTAGGGAACTTAGCTAGGGTCTGTAGGGTCTAATACTTACTCCTACCACATTCATGTGCAACGCGATATGGGTTATCGAGGGGAAATTGGCTCAATACTTAAACAATATCTGGGACAAGTGAAGTCTCTCTCCAGCAGAGGAATTTTACAGTTCATAATAAAAGCAAGGAAAAATACAGTTCTTAATTTCATTATGCTATTATGTTGTTGCGGGACATTACTTTGTGATTACATAAGAAAATAAAACCATGTGTTTCTTTTAAACACTACTCACCCACTGCGAATAACAACTCATCGCTGTTCAGGTCGTGGTCCAACGAGGCTATTGGGACCTGCAACTTCTTTGGTGGGTCGTTTCGATTCGCGTCCTGTTTTGTGTTGTTCGCTTCTGATGATACGGCCGGTCTTGGACTGTAAGGAATAATATTTTTTTTTGTAAAACTCAATTCAAGCAACACTGCAATATTTCAAGATTCAGTAAGCTTATTCTGTATAGATCGGACCAAAATTAATAAGTAAAACGCTGAAGGTACCCCGGGTTAACTTACACCGGGACGTCAAACACGTCAGTTCCTCCCATGAAACGTCGGGAACTAAAAACAAGCAAAATTAAACGCGATAAAATCCGTTAAAATAGTTTTATCCATGCTTGCGTAAAATTATGACATGATTATGCATTTTTTGTATGTTACAAGTACAAGATAGCTTCGTCAGTTATGAATCGATTTTAAAAATATTTTTTTACTAAACAGATAACACATCAAGGATATATAGGCGAATGGTGAAGAAAAATTAATTAAAAAATCTGAAACTTTCTGCCCCTTTATCATTTTAATTCAGATCGCGTGGTATTGCATTATTTTAACTGACTGTCATTCATAAATATCTAACGCCTATTATTTTACTGAGCTACCACGGCTCACAGAATACGTAGTAATGCATTATTTTAACTGATTGACATTCATAAATATTTAACGCCTACTATTTTACTACGCACGCACACAATTGTAAATTTCGATCAGTCGGCAAAAACGTTGTGAATTGCAACACACAAAAGAGCACGCGTAGGCGTAGTTATTGTCCATAAAATACATTAAATTTGGGATATTTAAAAAAATAGAAGCTTCATTTACTCATATTTTCAGTTTACGCTTGTTTTACAGTTTAATACTATATTGTTTATGATGTATGTTATGCTTTTAATACTACACTAATTGTTCTCGATTAGCCACCAAACCGTTACTTTCAAAGTGTTACTGTAATTACAAATAAGATATTGCTGCTAAGCCTTAGTGCCGTGGTAGCTCAGATGGTTAGCGCAGCTGTAATTATTACAGTACGCGAGTGACCCGGGTTCGATCCCCGTGCACCCGTAAAATTATTAATTGAAATTAATAACTTTGACTTTAACTATCTTTAATGAATGAATGAACAGTAAATGAATATATGGTTATGCCATCATTCATTCACTTTCCCACCAATTTCCCTTTATATAAGACTGTTATAACTTAAAACAAATAAGATTGATTAGGCACCTGACGCGCTGCTCCCGTTCCCTTTCACGGTCTCGATCCCGGTCTCGGTCTCGGTCGCGATCAGCAGCCGTGGCGAGCGTTACCGCATGCGGCAGCCTCGCGCTGCGGCACATTTCACAGCGCGCGCCCCACGCATTGTACGCATACCAGCACTCCCCACACTGCCACATGCGAGCACTGCCAACAAATATACATAAGAGATGCTTATACTATCGTAGCAGCACGAATGGTTCCGCTTGATCGGATCAAGAGCGCGCTCTCACAGAATACCAGCGTAAAATGGCAACTTAATGCTGCTGTGTTTCGTATAATGAGTGTAGAGAACCGGAGACTATTTTTACTGGAAGCGAGGCATTCCATCTTAGATGTCAGGGGTGATAACGCATCTGCAATATCCATTTACCATCACATAAACTGTGTGCTCCGTTGTCACCCTTATTCTATAAAAAAACGACTAATACGATTTCATTTACTAATTATAAACCAGTTCTTAACCAAAATCCCAACTGGTTTTAAGTAACGATTAAGTACAAACAAAACGAACTTTTGCAAAAAGCAACACTGCTACTATTAAAGAGACATTAAAGAGACAAGTTATACATATTTCCTGCGAAAGAATGAGATAGAATACAGTGTAGTAAGCGACAGTAGCCTAATGGCCATTTCACTGCTGTTGGTTACGCCAATGCACACTCTTACATTTCGTATTTGTTGATGTATTTGTTAGTTGGATTAGCTGATATAATCCCCCTCTCTTCGGTTCCTTCCCCGCACGGGCCAGCCTAGTCGGGAGGAACTACATACTGGTGGACGCATCTTTGGTTTTCCAATGAGGCGCGCTCAGCTAAATAGAAAGGGGAGATCGCGGAAGCTATAAGAAGACGCGCGCCGCCAAAGTCGTCGCAATTTTCATCGTGTCCGCATAGCCGTCAGGAGAGAGGCCGCTCGCCGCTTCCCTCAGGTAAGTGCCCATCCTTATTATGAACTGTTTTATCTGTTTTTCCTTTATCCGCAGCAGCTCATCTCACTAATGGTCAGCCAACGCCTCAAATTAATTTCAAAGCAAGTATATTGTTCATATTCCGCCACGTGCCACGTCCGCCATTTTGTTTTGGTCCTTTGAGCCACGCTAATAGTCCACATAATCGTTCACCCTGCCATACCTGTGGTCATTGTCGCGCACCCAGCTGTCGTGAACCACTCCTAACACAAGCAATTTCTGCTTGCGTATAGTGGTTGGTCAAAGGGTATATGAGTAATGTTAATAGGATTGCAAGTATTTAAAAAAATACAGTGTTTTTACTATTATCACGGTCTCCTCTTTGTGAGGTGCTTTAAAGATAAATTATAACTCAAACATTATAAAAATTATTTATTAAAACTAAATAATATTACCCATTTTGAATATAGCTATCATATCCAATCCATTCATGAGTTCAGGCCATCTAGCATCTATTTTACATACCACTTTGAGAGTCAATCAATTTTTGTTCAATAAAATGTCTGCCTATAAAATAAAGTAGATTACAAAGTAACTCTACTCGAAAGAAAATATTATTTTGAATTAATTCAATAAAATTTAGACTCTATGTCTAAAAATAAGGATTGCAACATTTATTTGCTTTAAATTAATGCTCTTGTGGTTGAAAATTATCATATTAAATAAATCAATTTTAAAATAATATTCATACTTTATATAGTCACCATAAACCACCCAGATCATTTGTTGAATGAACTTGGAGTATGTAGTATAATAAAATGTAAAATAATTTTTAAACTTGATAACAATTTTATAATATATAAACCCTACTAGCATTCGTCTCATTCTTGCAAATTTTAGTTATCTGAAGGTTTCACTTCCACCGTGTGTGAACTGTGTCATTTTATTAATACTGTAGTCGGTTGAACAAAATTTATATTGAACTACTTGTTACAAATTCATGCTCATATCTCATTCAACAAAAATAAAAATAATAAAATTACAACTTACGTAGGTTGCTGCTGTGTAGAAGGCACTTTAGATTGCTCCCGCGGATTGTGCGACACTTTACCAATAGATGGCAGCATATTGAACACCTTCGCACTTGTTTCTTTTGCTGTAGTAATATGTGAAGTCCTTATATTATTCTCAGTTATTGGAGATATGCAATTCTCAGCTCCCAACAATTCATCGATCCTAGCGTAATCTCCATCGCTGATATCGTTGGAATACAACGCCTCGTTTTGAGAATTGCTCATAACAATTTTTGCGTCCTGGACTGAAACATAAGAGTATTTTGTTCCGTTGTTATTGACTTGGAGTTGGAGATTTAAATCTTTATACTTCCCTTTGTTAGGTAAAGCATAAATTACTCCTTCCGCATTAGTGTCCCAACTACATTCCTTGTCAATTAACTCCAAGACTCCTTCATCTGTCTTCTTCTCCACCGCATTCTCTTTTTGTTCACCTTTCGAACCAGTTACGCTGTAATTTTCCATGGACTTGTGATAGTCGCTTAAACTCCTTCTGCTGGAAATAACTTTGCCAACTGGTCGTTTTTCAGTCTGTTCTGAAAAAGAACGCCTGTAGGTTGGTCGGATTTCTGGAGAGTTTTGAGCGGAGACCGACCTTTGGAATGGTTCCCTTAAGCTGGAACTCCCAGTTTGGGGCCAGTCGGGCACTGTTATCATTACACCGCCCGATGTTGGAAGCGATGTGGCACCATCCCTTCCGCTCGCCGTCTCATGTCTACCAAGAGTAGTAACACTCAAGCCTCGTGTGTTCGAAATTCTGGACAAAGGCGACACCCTCGGTGATAAACAAGCTTCACAGTGTGTTCTGATCCCAGAATTTTCGAGAGTGCATTTAATACACGCCCACTTTTTAAGATATAACGCCCTACTCTGCTCCCTCTGATATTCCTTAACGTAATTCAATTCCCAATTCGATTTACTTTCATTACACTTCTTCGGTTTCCTAGTTACAGAGTGAAGGCTCCGTAGGAAAGACTCTCGAGGATTATACTGAGCAGGGTTGAAACCATATCTCTCAGAGACCATTAGACTTGTTGGTCTGTTTATAGTACCCCTACTCTCTTCCACATTCCACCACTTCTGCTGGGAATTGATCACCGATCCATGTGATAGGGACCTCGTCACACCGTGCGCTTGATCTGTTAATTGAGTTGGTGACAAACGTAGCGATTGAAGATCAAGGTTAAGGCGTCTACCATCGGCGTAACTCGATGACGGCTTATATGAGGGAACTGCCAGGGTGTTGGATCTTATCATAGTGTTATCTGTAAAAAATAATTTGTTCATAAATAATAATGATAAATAGTAAGTAAACAGCAGAAAAGAGATTTGTGGTCACAAAAGTCTCTGCATGGTAGGCACCTTGCCGATCTCGGTCAAGCACATGTCGACAGGCAAGCGTCGAACGAGTGGCTCCGACGCGGAGAGCTCTTCCCAGAGACGGAGGTTTTTGTAATTGCTATTCAGGACCAAGTAATAGATACTCGTAACTATCAAAACACATTATTCGTATTCCCAAACCTCCAACTGACTTATGTAGAAGATGTCACAGTAGCACAGAAACAATTCAACATATTACAGGTGCATGTAAATCTATAGTTCAAACTGACTACAAACATAGACATGATCAAGTTGCTGCAATTGTCCACCAAAACCTGGCCCACAAACATTCATTAATTTTAAAAAAGGTCGCCTATTATAAATATATTCCCAGCACTATTTTAGAAAGTAATTCCGTCAAAATATATTGGGACAGGACAATTATAACAAACAAGACTATACATTACAATAGACCGGATATAACAATATTAGACAAAATTAAAAAATCTGTTTTTTAATAGACATAGCAGTTTGCAACACACACAACCTCATTACTACACATTCGGAAAAATTACAAAGTATGTAAACCTGGCTATCGAAATAAAAAGTAGACTCCGTAAAAATTTCATTCCTATCATCATATCTATAACTGGTGTAGTTCCAAAGACCCTTCGAACCAGCCTCAACATGCTTCAAGTGCCTAAATCCACTCTTACATTTATACAAAAAGCAGTCCTACTTAACACCTGTCGTCTCACACGTAAATTTCTTAACTCATCGTCGTCATCGAAGAGCGACAAGGAAAAAAAAAGACTTACAATGTCTTTCTTTTTTTCCTGCGGACGAAACGGACACACGGGCCTTGACCAAGTGTGCACACTTGGTCAAGGCCCGTGTGTCCGTTTTCTACCCCTCAATACAGAGGGAGAAATAAAAACAAATAAAAATAATAATAATAATAAAATGGCGTAGGGAAGTGACAACGCTATTGCCCGCAGACGTAACGGTTATGTGACATAACCGCTACGTCAGCGCAGTCAGTCAGCACCTTGCCAAGAGGTGTTAGTGCCGTGCCTCGGCAACAATTGAAGGTGCAAAGGCCCGCTTGTGCACATGTCCTCACCATGAAACGGCGCCGGGCATCTTCCGTTAAATGACGCCCACAAAAATGGATGATGGAATTAAATAGAACGCGCAAAGGGCCGCTGCCTGGAGGTCGCCAGGGCGCGTATGAAGCTGGCGCTGGACGCGACAGCATGCGAACCGTCAGCCGGACGCGAGGTGCTGCACGACCACCCAGCAGCCCCTCGCATCCATCATCCCTACCAGCTGGCTAGGTGTCGGCAGGGTCCTCGCGGCCCAGCAATCGGCACCCACCATTGTGGAGTACGCCGAATGCGTTGGTCAACCCACATGAACAGCAACGCATTGCGGGCGTATTTTAGGGCGAAAGGGGGAGAAATTTGAGGTTTTGCGTATCGGGCAAGGATGCATCGACTTTTTGCTGAGCTAGAGCTATCTGTAATCGTCACCGAGCAAAACCTGGCAGACGTGACGTGAGGCTGTTCCCTCATCGGATGAAAATGCTACGGCCGAGGGTGCGGCGACACAACTTACAGAGCAACCGGCAAACGTGGGTGCCGCCGTGAATACCCCAGTTGTGGTTGATTCCAACGATGATGGACAACCGCCCAGGAACTGGAGCTAGAGAAAATGAGGAGTACATTGGAAGATACGATTGTGGAAACGCGCAGTACGCCTCTCGAAAATCGACCGCAACTTCCCCGCAAAGCCTAAATCAAGCGGAATCGGGCTGTCGTGCCGGCTCTAAACCCAATGCTGATGACCTATTTGGAAGCCAGCCGGGACCTTTGCGAGACGGACTCATTCAATACGGACTCAACTTTTTGACACTGACAGTCTGCCGTATTATACTGCTATATTGGCTGGACACACTACTGGATAAAGTAGTGCTATCCCAGCCTGGAGAATAAGAATTGAAGAACTTACCGCAAAGGTTAGGGCCCTCATTGGCAGATTGATATGCTTCAGGTCAGGCAATACCAGGCCAAGGATTGTGCGCACCGTTAGGATGGCGTTTGCTGGGACAAATGTTAGTTTGCCTCAGCCGGATATAATGCAAAAACTGACGGATCGCATAAACGACCTGAAGCAGAGAATTTCTGCTTAGGGAAAGCGGATTCAACGATATACCGAAAGGTCGACACGGTTCAACCTGAATCATCTCTTTCAGAGTGGTCAGAAGAGGCTCTATAAATCATTGGAACGACCAATGGTAAATGGAACGGGCCCAGCACCGAATCAGGCCGACACAGTCGCATTCTGGCGCGGCCTGTGGTCAGAGCCCGTAAACCACAGCGGGGGCCCTTGGACGGAAGTTGTGGCGAGTCAGTGTGCGGGTATTACGTCCAAAACCCCGTCATCATAACGTCGGATGACGTAGCTGAGGCGGTCCATAGGGCCCCGAACTGGAAAAGTCCGGGGGTTGACGGGCTGCATCACTACTGGTTGAAGGGGTTCGTGGTGTGTCACACTGTGCTTGCACGACAGTTTCAAGAGGTTCTCAACCAGAAGTCGCTCCCGAGCCTCTTCACTACTGAGATCACTCATTTGGTTCCTAAGGACCAGGTTGCCACAGACCCGAGCAAATACCGCCCTATCACGTGTCTACCGACCATATACAAGACACTAACTTTCATTTTGAGCGCGAGAATCACTCGTCATCTGGACTCAACTCAGGTGATGTCGCGCGCTCAAAATGGATGTCGGGGCGGCGGTCGTAGACCAAGGAACCACACCTCATTGACGCGGTCATTGGCAAAGTGGTGAAACGCAGCCGTCGAAACTTCTCCGCCGTCTGGATAGACCACGAAAGGCATTTGACTCGGTGGCCCATACATGGCTAAATAGGGTCCTCGAGCTGTACAAGATTGACTGTACAGTTCGAGACTTCCTCGAGCAGTGTATAGGGCAGTGGAGTACGATCCTCTGTCACCTAGGCGAGCGGATAACGGCTGCGGAAAGCCGCATAAGGATAAGAAGGGGTATATTTCAGAGCGATCGTCTGAGTCCAATCTGGTTCTGCTTATCTCTGAACCCTCAGTACTTTACTGGAGGGCTCCGGGAGGGGATTTCAGCTTCGGAAAGGAGGTACAAAAGTGACCCACCTTTTTTATATGGATGACCTTAAGTTATTCGCCTCCAGTCGCTCCCATCTTGTGGAATTGCTAAACATCACTTGTGACTAAATTCACAAGTGATGTTTAGCAATTCTATTGGAATGGAGCTGGGGACGGATAAGAGTGCGGTCCTCCATGTTGAAAGGGGAAGGGTTGCTAACTCTGAGGTCATAGACTTATCTATGCCCATCAACTTAAGGACCCTTTCCGAGGCTGAAACATACCGATACCCGGGTATGTCACAGAACATCGGTATCGATGAGGCTGGTATGAAATAGTCAGTTTGCGATGTGTTTTATGCACACTTGACCAAAGTGCTTAACAGCCTTTTGTCCGGTGTGAATAAAACACACGCATATAATGGTTGGGTCATGCCTGTCCTCATGTATACCTTTGGCATACTCAGGTGGACTCAGACTGAACTTAACGGCCTGGATAGAAAAGTCCGCACTACCAAGACGTTTCATAGGATGCATTATCCGAGATCGTCGGTAATGAGGCTGTACTTGCCGCGAAAGCATGGTGGACGTGGCTTTCTGAGCGCGCTCACCATGCATAACCGCGAAGTGTGCAGCCTCCGTTATTACTTCCTGGCGAGATCGGATGATCCATTCTATAATGACGTCATTTCTAGTGATAAAGGGCTTACCCTATTTTACCTAACTTACTCTGTACTTAGCCAACGAGCAATGGCAGGACCCAGCAGTACAAAGCATTTCCGACCGGGAGACCGTGTGGAAGGAGAAGGAGCTCCACGGGAGGTATTACAGGGCTCTACATCAGCCCTACGTAGATTCAGTCGCCTCCCTCCACTGGCTACGTTTCGGTGACCTCTTCGGAGAAACCGAGGGTTTTGTCTGTGCAATACAGGATTATGTTATTAAGACCAACAACCATCGGAGATACATTCTAAAGTATGGCACCGTCGACGTCTGTCGAGCTTCCCGACCATCCCGGTGAGTCACTTAGGTATGTCATCTCCGGTTGTTCGGCGCAAACTAGTAGCCAGGATTCTACACCAGGAGCTCGCTCCGAAATAAGGTCTCGAGGATCGAAAACTGCCTTTTTATAAGTACTTACCGAAAGCCGTGCTCGAAAATGACTGCGCCAGGATCTACTGGGATGAATAAACCTGACATTGTGCTGATGGCCCTGGCACAGTCAATGATATTTTTGGTCGACATTACCACTCCATATGACGAGAACCTAGTGAAAGACGAATCAGATAAGAATACAAAATATCTGAACCTGGCTCACGAGGTGACCGACATGTGGGGTGGTCTGCCGACCGAAATTATCGTTTCTGCGAATGGGCTAACCCATTTAGCCTCTCGCGTCATCTGACGCGACTGGGACTCCGTGACGGACCGCTCCGGGCTCAAATGCAGAAGGCGGTGCTCCTCGATACCGCCCGCATCGTCCGCCGGTTTCTTTCCCTCTCCCCCTAACCCTCGGCCGTTTGGTCTCCCCTGCCGAGGGCCCATCTGGTTGGGCTTTTATTTATTTATGTATTTTGTATTTATTTTATTTTATTGATATTTATGTATATTTATCTTTTCATTTTCATTTATAATTATATATTTATAGAATCCAACCAGATGAGAAAACTATATAGATATGACCATAATAATAATAAACATTTATTTCTCCCACTTTTTACATAGTTACTTTTTTTTCATAAATAGTTTAAGAGTTTTGAATAGCTGTGGGAGACAGGAGCCCAAACTAGGTTTAAATAAAAAATAAAAATTATTAAATCTAATAAATTATTGAAATAAAAATTACCTTGAGCCAATTTATCCTTGTCCATCATCCCTGAAGTTTGCTCCTCATCATCAGAAAGTCTGAAATTATATAGAAATTAAAAATATAAATAATTTTATATTACTTCATCAAACTGCAATGATCCATAGTTGGACTTAAGTACCCAGGCAGAAATATTTGCTAGGCTTAACAAATAATTACATACCTAGTATTGCAGAGACTACTTTATCCCTTCACTGGTCTAAAAACTTTTTAAATGATTATTTTGCTATCTGTCAAATGTTACAATATTTATTAGAATATCTTTAGTAAAGCTATCACCTCTACTGTTTGTCGCCTATGTTTTGGTCATGCTTGTACTCCAGTACACTTGGCTAAACTCAGGATTACGGAGCTCAATTTGTAAATGTGGGCTAGACGAAGGATCTGTCAATCGTCTCTATGATATACTGCCCAATTACGTCCCGCGTTCTGCAAATTTTTAATATTTGCTGATCCTAGTGTATACTCCTTTTGTTAATATTTTGTGTGCTTTTATTCATACTAAAATATTAAACTATAAAATTACTAAGCAACTTTGGTGATGGTATTTTAAAAATGTGACGTCTTTTGTACCATCTGTGTCTTTTATTGTTCTTTGTATTGTTGTTTGTGGATTGTGAATCCATTCATAAAATTGAGGACTCTTAATATAATAATTATTAACTTGTCGCTCCCGTGACTGACTTACACTGGCAGAATTCTATGAAGAGAAGCCATAACTTAAAAGAAGAAGAATATCTTATAAAATCTGTTTAGAGTCTATGTTAAACTTAGGATTTCATTTATTTATTAATAAGGAGGTCATTTATCTGCTCTCATTCTCTGATTAGGGTATAGGGTATAAGAGAGGTCATATGATCCTACTATATTCAATAGTAACTCTTTAGTTTGGACTATTGAATATAGTAGGAATGAGATTGAGACAAGACAAGTTGGTTAGTTGCCTGAAAACAAGCTTGTAACTTAAACACGTTGCAGCCTCAGTGCAACGCCTTACTATCGTCACAGCACAAACTAATAAGTGGTAGAACTCTTTTTCTGACAGATGAACTATCTGGATCACCAGTTCAACACTTTCACCTATTTCTGCCGCTAAACAGCAGTATGTACAATGCTCTAGTCTGGTCTGAATGGTATAGGGAGCCAGTATAATTAATAGGCTATGGAGACATTCCATGTTAGTCTTCAAAGATGACGACGCATTTGTATATTAACCATCTTTATTTGAAGATGGTTGCAGATGGCCATGGATTACAGTAGCCACGTATCAGGTGGACTTTAAGGTCCTTTGGCACTTCAATTATATTTAAAAAAAAAACTCCATTCACGCACACAGCTACATACAATATACTACCAGTTTCTCACATGCACAGAGTTAGTAATTCATAGACTATTATAACAAAGTCCCATATTATACAAGGTAAGTATCTCTATTACCAAGTTTAAATATTTTATTCAACAACAAGTGTAAAAAAGGGTTATTATAATTTAAACATACTCTATTTTATATGTTGCACAGCCATGCTGCTGCTGTATTATGACTGCAGCATGAATGGGCTGGCTCAATAGGGGTAGGATCATGTGACACAGAATACCAGTGTCAAATAACAACTTAATGGTGCTGTGTTTCAAGTAGTCAGTGTAGATAACTGAAGACTCTTTTTACTGATAACAAGGCATTTCATCTTGGTCCTCAGGGGTAGCAGCGCATCTGCATTTTTGTTCTTAACTAGGATAGATGTAGATATCTATGGGCCTCTGCATCCACTTATCATCAGGTGGACTGTGTGCTCGCTTGTCACCCTTATTCTATAAAAAAAATCTATTCTTTGTACCTGTAGACGGGCGCGTGAGGGGCAATTGCATCGCAGGCAGTGCAGCGCCAGGCTGCAGAAACGTTGCGCAGCCCGCAACCGCAGCGCCACGCGCGCCGAGCCAACGGCGCAGACCCCACGCACGACCACCCACTATTCACATCATCGCTTAATTACTCATCATCATGACAGACTCACTGAATACCAACTCGAAATGGCAGCTTGCCATTGTGTTTCGTATGGTGAGGACCAGAGACCCTTTATACTGGAAATGAGGCATTCCATCTTAGTCCTCAGGGGTAACAACACATCTGCACATTAGCAAGCGCAGATAAATATTGGTATCAGTCTGTAAAGAGATTGCATTTTCTAATAAAAACAGAATAAACCTGTCCTGATAATATGTAATAGAAAGAAGCATCCTGAAGCTGAGAATACATAAAACAAGAAATTGTAAGGTACGAGGTAAAACAAAATTCATGGATGCACTTGAACATACTCTGAAACTTAAATAGAAATGGGCAGATCTCATAAGATAGATATGAGGACAAAAGATGGACCTTACAAATAATAAGATGGTCAGGTTCTATGGCGGAAGCATAAGATGGCATAGGAAAAGAAAAGAAAATCTAATAAAAATAACAGAATGTTACTAATGTCTCCTTCGAAGTCATCCATAATCGAATTTTTGTTTTTTCGACACTTTTTCCCAATCATCCTTTGTGACATGGGTACATACTTCAACGAACATAGAAGAAACTGTCCAAAAAGTTATATACCACAGTAAGCTCCTGAAATAGTGGGAGATTGAAATTACGTGGTGGTTTTTTCAGCACTGCCTTGTATATGAGTTATTTTGCCTACACAAATTTACGTTGACAAAGTAAAAAAAATAAACTTGTTTTACTCATGATTCATGTAATTTAAGAAATTTTAAAAATAAAAATTTTATTAAACAAATAATTCATAAAAAAATTAATGATTCGATTATTTGAATATTTTTACTGATTATTTGAATATTTTTGCCGATCATTCGCATAACAATGAATTTAATCATCCATATAAGGTTCATAAAGACATATCATTGAAACGTCAAGTAAAATAATTTATACTAGTGATTTTTTTAAATATTTTGCTTTGTTCGAAATATTTGAATTTAATGTGCAAAGTTATTGCAGAATAATTAATGTGAAACATCAAAAAGTATTTCTTAGATTTGGTTGACTATAGTACTACACTACTAATATTGATAATGCTAATTTTCTTTTCCTCTATCTATCTATATATATATATACACATCCCGTAACTTATTGTACGTCCTTTATGGCCAATTTTGCATATAATGTGGCGTCAACCTGCTTACGACGTCCAATATACGGACGTCAAATAGGAGACTTAGCGCAATGTTCGCAAATTGTCATTCTGATCACAGAAATGTCAAATCTAAAAAGAAATTGGACGTCATTTTTCTTCCAAACTTGCTGTACTGAATATTTACGTAATTCCGTTAATTTTCGTTGCTAAAATAATAGCGCTGCTATCGATTTGTGACGTTGCCGTTCCGTCACCATTGCCAACGTGTTACTTGTATTTGGTGATATATGGTTATGACTGCCTCGTTGGTCTAGTGGTTGTAGTAGTGCGACTGCTGATCGTGAGGTCCTGGGTTTGAATCCCGGGTCGGGCCAAAAATCAATTATTAAGTTTTTCTGTCAAGAAATTCTCAATAGCTGCCCGGAGTCAGGAAGTTGATGGTGTATCACCCCCTTGTCTCGGAAAGCACGTAAAGCCGTTGGTCCTACGCCTGATCTCTCTGCGCGCTGCGCATAGACTTAGGCACTATAATCCTGTCCTGCGCCGATGGCTAGTCTCCGTTGAGGCAGGCCGCCGTGACATTATTCGGTCTGCAGGACATTATTATATGGTTTATACTGCACTTGGTACTAGCAATTTTACTTTTAAACTTATTTTCTTAACCTTACATACTGAATGATATTTGACATCCGTATTTTTGAATTTAGTTATTATTTTTATAAATGTAGATGCAGATGTCGGCTTATCGGTTTTCATGTTGCACTATATTTTAACATTTTTAATTTGTTACTAATCTGCCTAAAAGAACTCTTGTTAGGTATTTTGTAAGCAACCCATAATTCTGTTCTGTTCTTCTGTTCTGAGTATAAGTTACCTTATGATTGTACAGAAAGATAGACTCAATTGTAGATATTGACATGTTTCATAGAAGTTTGTTCTATTATATTGTGACTAATAACCTCTGACTAATAACCTAATATGGTCTGGCGAAGAAACTCATTTTAATATAAGGTTTTACTGCATTAACTGCCAATAGGTTGTTAATGTCTACAATAGACCGTGGCATATTGTTGCTGACATAACTCCGAAAATATAATTTATTTACTTGATCGTGTTGAGTTTTGGTGCTCTCACTGCATCGAAAAGATGAGTGCGACTATTGTACCTAATCTGTACGAAATTACTCTCTACTTAACTAGATTCATTTTTGTGAAACGCTATTTTTGTTAAATTATGATATTATGTTTGGTTTTGCAGTTAGTTGAAATACAATTTGTTTGTGTTTGTTGTTATAAATATTGGACGCTATATTACTAAAAACATGCATATCGTGCTCTAATTGGCGTCCGTATTGTGACCTACGCACATTGAGAACTTTCCACGCTTATGCTTGCTGGCATTTACGTAATATTTGACATGGACATTGAACGGAATATTTACCCATATACGGACTTAAGAATATCCTAAAATATTCACACTAAGTTTTATTTGACGTCCACTTCTTCGATATCCGATGACCATAGTTATTGTTGATAATTGCGTTTTACTATTTATTATGTATATTTTCGGAGTTATTCCTGTCAGCAACAATACGCCACGGTCTATTGTAGAAAATAATAACCCATTGGAAGTTAATGCAGTAAAACCTTACATTAAAATGAGTTTCTTCCCAAGGTCATATTAGGTTATTAGTCACAATATAAGAAAATGAACTTCTATTAAACCTGTCACTATCTACAATTAGTACTTATTTACAATAGTAAAATAAATAATAATATAGTCAATCTATAATGTATCACGGCTGGGCAATCCTAGATATTTTTTCGTATTTAGTAAACGAATAACTACAGTAGTAGTAGTACAGTAACTACTGTAGTTGGTAAATTAATCATATCTCTCTGTTTTTTTTTTTCGCCGGAGACAAAAATGATATTGCGTATTTTTCGTAACTGCACATTCTGTGGATTTATTTCATAATTTTGAACCAATGATCTTATATGTAAAAGAGCAAGACCTCTTTTACATATAAGATCATTGTTTTGAACAATATACAAAACTTAAGTGACTAAAATTAAATCTAATCTCAACCAGAATCATAAAAACTATTATTTGTGGTAAAAGAATCTAATAAAGACATGCTATTTTTGTCTCCTGCGAAAAAAACAGACTATAGGAATCTATTGAATACCTACATAAACAAAATATCACTTATAAATAAAATATTACAAAGCGGAATAACTAATAAGAGTGGCAACATCGCACCATACAAAGGAATTGCCTTAAGCAGGAGAATGAATTAAAAACTGTGTATATTACGGGGATTCTGGATAATTTGTAATATTGAAAGGAGTCCTGATTGGTTTCCCTCCGTCTGGCGATATACGAATATTTGTATATCGACATATGGTAAATTTTCAAAGAAATGAGTTAAACACTATCTTTGAAATTGTTAAATGGACCAATATTCGCAGTCATAATATATAAAAATTGCCTACTAGTGGTGGACGCTACAATAATGCGAAATGAAAGGACGTAGAATCAATATTGTGATGTATATATATATATATATATATATATATATATATATATATATATATATATATATATAATATATATATATATATAAAATATATATATATATAAATATATATATACAAATATATATATATACAAAATATATATATAAAAAGAAATTGTATGGTCACATAAAGATGGGAAAGAATTACGTCATGTAATCCAAAATTAAAACAATTTAAAACAATCTTGTTTTAGCCATCGTCAACAAAGGTCTCTTCTGAGTTTAATATTCATATCATTTCATCACACTTAGCGGACAGGTAGTGGACAGTGCCGAAACCTAAAATACTGCTTTCCAGCACCAATCTAAATAGTTTTAAGATATTTCTTTTGCCTATCTAATGCTATATTTTACTAACATTTACAACTTACATTTATGTATGTTTTGCAAACAGTTTAAAGTTAATATTTTACTTGAAACTTCAGTTTTAAGTCTATACTTTACAAATAAGTTCTCCGTTTGTGGGTTGTAAGTTAAAAGTAAAACAAAAGCACTCAAGTTAGAACACAAAGTAATACCTAAACCCATCATGGGTCTATCACATTAAAATCTAGGTTTACGGTTAAATAATGACATACGTCCATTACAATAAACATACAAATCAGTAATTTTGATAATGATCTGTGTTAATATTTATACACTACTATAAATACAATAGAAATAATAACCTAAATATAGGAGAAGAAAAATCGATATTTTCTGACATTACCAACAACGGTCGGAATGTCAATGTGTATAAAAAATACGCACCTATTGAAGTTATTTGTTGTCGGTATGACGATTGCTTCCGAGCCAGGAGTTGTGCCACCACTTTTTTCCGTGCGAGAAGCGTATTCTGACGAAGAATCTCCCGTAAAGTAATGTTTTTGTGATCCACTGTCATGACTCGAAATTCTCTTTGTACCACATTTTAAACATTTCACACTCTCTGTTGGATTGATCTGACCACACGCCTGACAATGCCATTGCAGCACCGATGCGATGGAGCCCATTTTAATTCACACATGGCTATGTAACCATACAATGCTTCGTTTATAGAAACAATTTACTGTTCAAGAAATATGAAAACAGCTGATCCACCATGTTGTTTGTATATAACTTTTTTATTCAAGTGTTGCTATTGCGATTAAGCCTGAATATTTTGTAAGTCACTCATAAGCTTATAACAAAGTATTTCGATTTATAATTATTAATTTTTAAATGATACTTCATGTCATAATAAAGCTTTAATTAATAATTAGCCATTAAATAATTAATCAACCCAATATAGGGTAATTGTATAGTCAGAAATGATATTACGTAAAGCGACATCTTTTGATCAAAAAAGAAAATAATAGTTGCACATAGTGTTTCATAAATTTGCTTTCGGTGAGGTACAACAAGTCATCACTAGGTGGCATGAACATATAAGAGAAGCGTATTAGTTGTAGGGTCAAAACAAACCCTACAACTAATACGCTTAAAACAACTAGCGATCTAATTAAGAAATACTCCGAGAAATTGAATCTAGACGTCAATTCAATAATACCTTCGTGTGCGAAACCTCCCAAGTTGTATGGGTTACCAAAAATACGCAAACCTAACGCTCCATTACGTCCAATAGTGAGTCAAATCGATTCGCCAACGTACAGATTGGCTCAACACTTAGCCAAAATATTATCACCACTCAGAGGACACACAAGAGCACATACTAAGGATTCATACCATTTTGTCAGTGAGATAAAAGACCTACGTCTTGCTGACAATGAAACCATGGTCAGTTTTGATGTTCAGTCTCTATTTACATGCCTACCTGTTGAAGACTGCATCTCAATTATAACTAGGAAACTAGATGAAAATAACATGCCACCAGAATATGCAGTGCTACTAAGACATTGCCTTACATCTGGCTATCTATTGTGGAAGGAAGAGTTTTACAAGCAAGTAGATGGTGTTGCGATGGGCTCACCTGTATCTCCCATTGTCGCCGATATATTCATGGAAGACTTTGAGGAGAAAGCCCTCCTTACTGCATCTGTTACCCCAAGGTTCTACAAGCGGTACGTAGACGATACTTTCACAATTTTACCATCAGACAAAGTAACTGCATTTTTAGAACATCTTAATTCCATAAACCCTTAAATTCAATTTACTATGGAGTTAGAGGCAAATAATTCCTTAGCTTTCCTAGATGTGTTAATCATCCGAAATTCTAACAACACCATAGGTCATACTGTGTATAGAAAAAAGACCCATACAAACCGATACTTAAATGGTGAATTTCACCATCATCCTTACAGTTAGCTACCGTGGGCAAATCTTTGTTTCAGAGAGCACGAGGGATCTGTGACAGCAAACACCTGGCTGCCGAGCTTCAGCACGTCAAGCAGGTTCTGCACGACAACAAGCTTCAGGTCCCGCGCCTCCGTCACAGTGACCGAGTGAAGCCGGCCACAGTCGAGCGTGTGCCTGCTATACTACCATATGTCAGAGGTGACACAGACAAGATTGGCTACATCTTGAAGCGAGCTTCTATTATAACATTCTACAAGCCGCCGAAGAAGATTAGTCAGTTCTTACCATCCGTCAAGTGTCATATTCCTATACAAGATGCAGGAGTGTACAAGCTTGATTGTGATTGTGGTCTCTCATATATAGGGCAAACAAAGAGATCAATTAGAACCCGCGTAAAAGAACACATAGCTGACGTGAAGCATCAACGTTCCGGGAAGTCTGCAGTTTGCGATCATATTCTAGATGGCCCCAACCATTACATCAGATTTGATAGACCACAAATCCTCGCGAAAGAACATCGATTCCTACCAAGGATGATACGTGAGGCTATTAAAATTAAAAAACATCCTAATTTCAATAGAGAAGGAGGCTGGGTACTACCACCTGCTAGGGATCCTATAATTAATAAAATTAAAACTAAACCCAAGCATACCACTGCAAGACTTCAAAATACATTTAGTTCATTCTGCGTAGATCGGACCAAAGACAATAATTAAAAAGCTGAAGGTACTCCGGGTTAACTTTGACATCGGGACGTCAGTCACCTCAGTCCCCTGTGACCATGGGTGCTGGAAAACACTCGAAACGTCGGGTATTAAAATTAATATAAATAAAACGCGATAAAATCCGTAAAAGTAGTTTTATTCAACATATAAGAGAAGTTAGGTAAGACCAATCCATATCTTTTTAGTACTTAAATTGTCCATTTAACTACCTATTGTAAGTTTAAATTTGGTTACAGTCTCTGACTACCAGGTAAACCATAGATAATATACGTAGACTGTTAGTTCGGTTGTCATTTTAATACCGTATCACTCTAGCTCACTAGGTACCATCATCATTACATGTTCATCACAAGCTCACTACTGAACAGAAACCTTCCCTTAGATTGCCACAAAGTACGATCCTTTGCCACCTGCACATATTATATTACCGATTTTATTTAAAAAATGCAACCAATTTTTCTACAGTCTACTGGTTCCTATATATAAAAAAGTACTCTGTGGTCTACTGGCCTTTCCGAAAAACATACCTAATTATACTTTAGCACAGATTAACTAAGAGTTACACTTTCATACGCGACAAACGAATGGCATTAGGTACTTAGTTACTCAAATGCACTGTAAATAAATCATGTTTAGATGAATGTGTTAACTTTCGGGTGTATATTATTAAGTATTTCGCAATGCTAACTTGGTTAGCTTAGATCTCAGTAACAGATACCATTTCTACAGAGCACACGTGTTACGCAGCCTTCATTGTATAAAAGTAGTGTAAAGATTTTGTCCTAAAATTAAATGACCACCATTTGTTTTCTGTTTGTCTCTATATCTGATCCGTAGACAGAGATAGCATTCTCTGCATGGAGTATAGTACCTCTACACTCCATAATTCTCTGTCTACAGCATGGAGGTTGGAGAACGTCTACACTCTACAGTCTGATCACTGCTTGTCTCAGATAGGGTTGCCAGGTCTTAAAACCGAAAAGCCGGACAGACCAGCGAGCTTAGCCAGACATTTTGGCAAAAAGGCCGGACATCCTTAATTTTTTAATCATAGTAGGTATATAACACGGTAATTTTTTTAAAGTAAAACAATGCTTTCTATCTTTTACCATAAAATCTTCTTAAATTCTAACGAAATAACAATATAATTGAATAAATCAGTCTTCTTTATTATTAATCATTCAATATTCATTACAATATTAGTTTTCAATTTCTGCAATAGTATGTTAGTAAATAGGTACATGAAAAAAGTAAAAAGTAGTCAAATTTAAAAAGCCTAACAAATGCCGGACGCCATCAAATTTGGCCGGACGCGCACGCAACCAAAAAGCCTGACTGTGTCCTACTTATCCGGACGCCTGGCAACGCTATTCCCAGAGGACAGCTTTTAAATATTACTACTTTGTGTTCAAGAAAGAGTTTAAGAGTTCCGCCAACACGCGTTGCTTCTTAAAAACCCCTTTTAATAAGCCTATACTTAAAGTAGGTATCTATGAATGTTATTCGTATTTTAACCGATCTAAAAATGGAAGAGGTTTCAATTCGAGTGTATGTTCTTTTTGTACGTATATTATGTGATATCTTCGCAGATTGTGAATTGATTTTAATTATTTTTGTTATTAAATAGGCTTTATCTTAAGGATGGTCCCATTAAATTTTGAAGAAAAATACCAAGGGTGGAAAATAGGGTAAAAAGTTTCATATTGGACTATTGTTTGAGGAATTTTATATGATAGCTTCGCGGATAAAGAACTGATTTTAATGATTCTTTTTTTTTTAAATAGTTTATACTTCAAGGGTCCCATATAAATTTGGAGAAAAATGTTTGCCCTTAAGGGTTGCAAATAAATAACTTCTTTTTTAGCAATTTGAGTTGGTTTTTACTTTTTGGTTAAATGTCAATAATTTTTGTTAAAAGTAACTATAAGAATTATTGATTTATTGTTTACTTATTTTATTTATTCATTGTTGACACGTATTTCATCACTTGCCTACGACCCTGTATAGTTCGTGCACAAAGGCTCTGACAGAATAGCACGAGTAAGTCTCACAGACCGTTTAGTCACGACTAATTATAAAGCTGTATTTAAATTTTAACATTGATTTTTGTAGCAAATAAATACTTTTTTATTTATATATAATTTATTTATCATCCGGGGGCGACCTAGGTAAATGAAACAAGAGATGGTCATCACCATCTCTTAGAAAACAACTAAAAAAAAAACGACAATGGCGCCAAGGGTGGTTATTATAACAAATATCTCACTATGAGGCAGTGTATGAGGAAGGCCTATATTTAGCAGTGGACTTTCGATTGTTGTTATGATGATGATGATGATGATACGTAATCAGTTTCTCTGAAGCTGCTGCAACGATTTGGATAAAATTTTCATAATTTTAATATAGCTTTACACTGTGGTATATAAAACAAATGCTTTTGTTTACCTGTAACATATCGTGTCGAAGTGTCGCTTATACCTGGTACTCGTATGTGCTCACCTGTATTTTCGTTGCAGGGTTGCGATGGATTACTTTTATTTATGGCGGGGCAACATGTCGCGCGAACTCGATCGAGATTAATGACAGCGTTCCATCAGGCGCTTGCAGTTTCACACTTTCAATGCGAATAAATACAGCGGAAAAAGAAAGAAAAAAATAGAACAGTTTTTTAATTATTGTCTTTGACATCGGAACATCAGTCACCTCAGTCCCCCGTGACCATGGGTGCTGGATAGACAAATAATATAAAAATAAAATAAATAAAACGCGATAAAATCCGTAAAAGTAGTTTTAATCAATGTATAGTGTTCGCGTAAATATAAGAAATCATTACAGAACAGTATTGGTAAATTTCTTTACACTTTCTTTTAATTCTTTTTAAGAATTATAATAAGCCCTAAACCACTTAAGGGGAAATATAACCTCAAATGGCTTAGCAAGATCCTCCGTTATGCCGAAAGTATTGCAGCATTAATTTTGAAATAAATATATGG